TTGAAAAAACTTACAAAACCTAAATTTACTTGTAACACTTATTCGACGCAGCAAAAAAAAAAACTATTTTTCCAATTATTTTTCTTCTAACAGCAATAATTTAAGGGCTACGTAGAAGGGCATTAAAAAGCTTTTGAATATTCGTTCGGAAGATATCTCATACCCATCTAATATATCTTCAAATAACACCATTATACATGATCCAAACAAAATATCGGAAAAACTCAACTCGTTCTTCATTTCAATACCTGACGAATTGCAAAAAACATTCACTTATCCCATACTAACTTCTATAACTATTTAAAAACACCAAACCTCGAATCTATATTCATTAAACCTACTGATGAAAATGAAATTCTATCTATTATTTTTTCTCTAAATGATGGCAAGGCTTCTGGTCCATACAGCACTCCAACCTTTATTCTTAAATTTCTTGCTTGGGATATTTCTCCATTACTTTCTAAACTATTTAACCTCTCATTCATTACAGGTATATTTCCTAACATTTTTAAAACAGCATCTGTTAAACCAGTTCATAAAAAGGGCTCAAAACTTGACTGTAATAACTACAGACCAATATCAATATTATCTAATATCAGCAAAATTCTTGAAAAATTAATGTATTCTTGTATCTACCACTTTCTTGATAGTTCTAAGTGCCAGTTTGGTTTTCGTTTAAAACACTCTACTTCCCATGCTCTTATTAGTATTACTGAAATGATTCGTGGTGCAATCGATAGTGGTTCATTTGCTTGTGGCGTCTTTATTGATTTCCAAAAAGCTTTTGACACGGTCGACCACAAGATTTTAATTAAAAAGTTATACTACTATGGCATACGGTGTATCGCTAATAATTGGTTTTCATCATATATTGAAAATCGTCGCCAGTTGGTTATCATTAATGGGTTTGAATCCTCCAAAAAATTTATCAAATATGGTGTACCCAAGGTTCTGTTTTTGGGCCTTTGCTGTTTTTAATATATATAAACGACTTGTCTCACTCTATTATTAATTCCACTGTTCACCATTTTGCTGATGATACTAATCTTCTATGCATAAATAAATCACTTACTCAGCTTGTAAAAAAGTTAATTCAGATCTCCATCATTTGTGTCTTTGGTTAAATAGTATCGTATCTCTCTAAATATCAACAAAACTGAATTCATTATTTTTTCACCCTCAAAAAAATAATTAGTAATAATAATGTTAAAAATAAAATTATTGGTAAAAGAATTTTTCCTCCTGAATTTATAAAATTTCTCGGAGTATTTCTTGACAAAAACCTATCTTGGAATTATCAAATGATTCAATTAAATAAAAAACTCTCTCGAGCCAATAGTATATTATCTTTAATACGACACAATGTTCCTAAACATACTCTAGTATCAATTTACTATTCCATGTTCTCATCCCATCTAAGCTATTGTTGAGTTGTTTGGGGGCAACAAGGAAGTTTTCTATTAAATCGTATAAACAGTTTGCAACGTGCTTCCATAAGAATTATGACATTTTCTCCTATTCAATCTAATATCCAAAAAAGGTTTTCTGAATTAAATATCTTACAATTTCAAGATCTTATAAAGCTTTACAACTGTCTTTTTGTGTTTGCTTTCCTCCAAAATAATGTACCGGGTTCGTTTAACAGTTTTTTTCATTAAAGCAAGTGATAGACATAAATACTATACTCGTATTACTATAAATGGTAATTTGCACCCTTCTTTTTTTAATACTGTCAAGTATGGCAAGCTCTCTATAAAACATCAATGTATTTCTCACTGGAACCAATTAATACCTTTTATTAAAAAAAAGATTTTAACTAAATACCCTTTTCTTACTAACTTTCTTCTTCTCAATAGAAACCTAATGAGGAAATTTTAATGTGAGCAAATATCTAAAGAATATTAATGCTATCTTTTATTATTATTCCTGCAATATATTATTTAATTAATTACACTTATTTTTATTTATTTTTTCACTATTTTTATTATTTTTATTACTATTATTATTTATATATCTTTGTTATTGTTGCCTTAATATTATTACCTATAATGATAGTCAAAGTAGTTCAGTAGTTGCAGTAGCTTTATCATTATTGTTATAACTATTCTTTAAATTGTTTATTTTATAATTATTAACTATACTATAATTATCTTACTATTGCTTTATAATTTATAATTCTTTTTACGTTGTTGTATTGCAGTTATTATTTTTTATATTATTTTTATTCATATTATTGTTACTATTATTATTTTTATAAATATTATTACTTTTAACTTTTTTTTCCTCTTTTTTTTTTTTTTAAATCTTCTTTATTGTTATTGTTGCTTGTCTTTCTTTCCTTTTTTCTTTTTTTTTTAGGTGTCACTCCATTGACTAGTTTTCAACTATATGAGTGACACCTAACCTTATTTATGTAAATTTATAATTTATTATTGTAAATTTTCATTATTTATGGCTAAATAAATGGAGAAAAAAAAAAAGATACTTCCCATTTCTTTCTACTATTTCATATAGAATGTTCTAAGGGGTTGAAGCAATAACTTTTTTAACTCGTTTTATACTTTTAAAACAAGTTTTATATCTTTTGTATTTAATTTCATTGTTCAAAAAGTTTTTTTTCATAAAGCTTATGCTTTTTTCTAGATGATTTTATACGACTATTTGTCATCTACTGGTTTCTAAAGTTTTTGAAATCGGTATTTTTTTATTTTTGGAACGGATTTTTTGTATGGTTTAGAAACAACCGTAAAAATAAGTTGCTTGTATCATTAGAATTATTTCACTATTCAACGAAAGATTCCAATCAATTTCTTTTAATAATTTACAAAATTTTATGACAACCTAGTTATAAAACCTGCTTTAGCACAAACAGAGGTTTTTACTAAACGATTTTTTTTTGCTAATTATTCCCAGTATAAAATGTTTACTTGACTTTTAATCATTTATAACAATAGTATTTACTATTATAATCGAATTTGTAAGTTTCAATCTTTAGGTGTTTAATTAAGAATTGAGAAGATCAAAAATGTTTTCGAGTACCGGATAAAAACTGAGGAATTATCAAAAACTAAGTTTTTGAATTTGTTTCAATGTTTCAAAACGCACAATATTTAATTTTTTTAAGCAGCCGTGGCGTAGTGGTAGCGCACCTGTCTTTTTTAAGCAGCCGTGGCGCAGTGGTAGTGCACTTACCTCAGAAACGTAAGATCCGTGGTTCAAACCCCACCTCTGGGCAAGTTTTGCGACATTGGTTGGGAAGGAGGCGTGAACTTCTTATTAAATGCTCTTCCGCGGTGTTCTGTGATAAGACCGTAAAGAATTCTTGGGGCACCTTAACCAACTTAATCAACTTAAAAAAAAAAAAAAAATTAAAGAGTACCAAGATTTAAATGATTTTTAAAAGGCTTTACCTGGTTATGCTTCTAAGATATAAAAGTTTATATTTTGAAAAATCCTTTAGGCCGGCTATGCCTCTAATTTTAGGTATTTTTGTAGACATAAACAGAAAAAAGTTTGGAGTTATAACTCAAATGTTACTACGCAAAGACCAAAAAATACTAGATGTGCGGCTGAGTTATTTTTTTTTATAAAGCTACAGCATGGGGCTCACAGTAGCTGGTGAACTTTAATTCAGATAAAACTCAATTTTTTTCAGGCAATCGTTATCGCAATAATTTAGACCTTCCTATTTTTATGAAGATAATGTACTCGATGAGTCTCCTACCCTTTATCTTCTAGGATTAACTCTTACTTCTGATCTTTTTTGGAACCATATATCAAATCCGTTGCAAAATTAGCATCTACTAAAGTTGCTTCTCTTTATCGATCTCGACACTTTCTTACTCTGGATTCTATTCTCTATCTCTATAAATCTCAAATCCGACCTTGTATGGAATACTGTTGCCATGTCTGGGGCGGATCTTCTAATGATGCCCTTTCTCTTTTAGACAAGGTGCAAAAACGCATTGTAAATATAGTTGGACCTGCTCTTGCAGCCAACCTTCAACCTCTGTCACATCGTCGTAATGTTGCTTCTTTCTCTCTTTTCTACAAATACTATAATGGGCACTGCTCGAAAGAGCTAGCGTCTCTTGTGCCATCTACTAAAATTCATTCTCGTGTTACTTGTCATTCAATTAAGTGTCATCCTTTTTCTGTTACTGTTCCTAAGTGCTTCAAAAACTCTTACTCGTCTAGTTTTTTTCCTCGAACATTAGTTCTTTGGAATTTGCTTCCTTCATCTTGATTCCCTGATTCATACAATTTGCAATCTTTTAAGTCGTTTGTCGATCGCTATCTTGCTCTACAATCTTCATCTTTTCTCTTCCAGTAACTTCCAACACTAATTAGTGGTTGCTTAGAGCCTTGTTGGAAGCAAAAATGTTTAAAAAAAAAAGCAATCTATGGTAATGGAAAATATCTTTTACTATACGGCTTTAAGAAGATCCAAGATTTCTCTTATAGGCTTAAAAAAGTCAAACGCACAACGATGGTTTTTATGCCTTAGTTTGCATATAAAGTGGACTGAGAGCAACAGTAGAAAGATAAAGTATAGTTATATAAAGTAATAGGATAGCTCCAAGTAGTTTTACGTCAACCGTGAAGGGGAGAAAACACGAAAATTCCTGTAGAAAATAAATACACTTTTTTTTAAAAAAAAAAATGTGCCTAACTTTCATATTCGTCTTTAAGTACGAATGCACAAATACATTTATGAATAAATTATTCTGACATACTAAAATTAAAAAAATATATATTCTAGATCAAAAAGAAAAACGTATACAAAGGCGACCCTGCACAGGATTATTTTAGGGAGTCATTTTTAGGAATTTAATATAGGACCTGCTTTTTACAGTTTTCAATTTTAATAGTAATTTTACTTAATCTCGTTCTTTTAATATTAATGTTACTTCTGTGCCCCCAAGTGGGCTATAATTACCACTCAATATATTTTTTAAACTGTGTACTGTGTATTTTATATATTATAGGTTAAACTTCAGTTTCAATAGTTAAGTCTAAAAGAATTTGTAATTAAACATTTTGTTATACAAAAATTTATGTAACATAATAAATAAAAATTTAAAAGAACATATGATATCAGTATAGTGCTTCTTTCTCATTTATCGGTTCGTTAAAAAACTCCATTACGCTCTGTTGTTGACTAAACATTCTTTTAATTATATCTTCACCATTTTCAAAAGAGGCCTGCTCGTTAGAAGTATGTGAATACGGCGTGATCGTTTTATCTGTATTATCCACTTCATTTAAATTGTCATTATTTGAAACCCTGGTTTCTGGATCATTAGGAGTAAACGATTTCAAAAGGCCTGATGAACTATCTGCTGCGACTTCATTTTTTAATGATAAACACTCTTGGTCGCAAATTGACAAATCCTTATTTGAGTTTTTGTCAAATCCATTAAAACAAATGCCATTAGATAGATCACTTTTTATATGCGAATTTGAGGCGTCATCAATTAATTGAGAATCGATTTTACTTTCATTATTTGATGAATCGGTTGAGCACCGATTTCCACTATTCGAAGGACTAATTAAACTATTTGGTTTCAATTTAGAAATAGTTTCATCTAAAGATAGTTCACAATAATGATCATTAGCTACACTTTTTTGCGTTGGAAAATCCTCACACAAAACTTTTTTATAGTTTGATTTTTTTTCCGCGTCGCTGTTTAATAACGTTTGAGATTTATTACTTTGTGGTTTTGTTGTTTTAGTTGCAACAAGAATCGATTCCTCGCAATTTTCTCCCGAGAGATTTTGTGACATATTATCAAATTCAAGAACCTTAAAGGTGTCTTTTGATAACGAACCACTTGCAAAGTTGTGTTTCATACTGATTTCTTTATTTTGTGAATAACTTAATACTTGTACCGAGAGTTCATGCTCTCCAATCGATTCAAGAGCATCACACAATAATTTATAAGTCGCTTTTTGAGCATACTTGCTGCGCCAGTACTCCAAAAGTCGTATTGAACTAACATCCCGTTTACCGCAACTAAAATAAAACGCAGTTATAAAAACGAAACTTTATAAAGAAAGTAAATAAAATCTAGTCTAAGATAAAGTCTAGTGTTCCTCATTGTGGGTATTAGAAAAAGAACTGTAACAATATGAATATATTATTCAGTGATAACTTAATTATATTGGTCAATCAAATAAATCATCAAGTACGTACGCTCATAAGGGGGTCTTAAAAAATCGTACGAAAGCGTATGGGCATAGAAGGGGGGAGGAGGGTTCAATTTAAGTAAGTACTTTGATTTTCTAATTTATCACAGTTAACCAGCTAATCAATAGAAAAGTTCTGGTTAAAGATCTTAGTTTAACAAAACATAAAAAGATGTATTGAGTAGAGGAGTAGATGTGAGGAGTAGATGTAGGGAGTAGAGGGTAAAGTTTCCCTTTATGCACACAAACATTTTTTTTGTTTTGTTTATTTATTATTTAGAAGCATGTGCGCCCGCAGGATTTTTTGATGTTCCAGATAAGACACTTTAACACATTGTACAAACTCTAAACTTAAGTATGTTTATACCTATGCCAAATGAGGAGGCCTTGCAAAAAATTGGGATGGCGGACGCTTTCAACCCCTGCCCATACTTGAGGGCACTAATGTAGTAAATTTTTAACTTTATTATCTAAAACTAAATTTAATTTATCGACAGATTTTAAATTTCGTAGTAAATATGTAAATAACAAAAGTTATTACCATGCAAATTTTCCACCCACCCCCCCACCCCAATGAGGGGGGTGTAAATTTTGAATGATCATAACTTTTGTAATTTACAATATTTTTCTACAAAATTTAAAATCTGTCGATAAATTTAAATTTAGTTTTAGATAGTTAAGTTGAAAATTTTACTACATATTGCCCTCACGTATGGGGAGGGGAGAAAAAAAACATCCGCCTAGTATGGTTTATTTTTATTAGTTATTAAAAAGTTTCGTCATTAAAACAAAAAAAAGTACAACATGACTTATCCGGAAATCGAACTACGATCTCCGCGGTCGATCTCCTAAGCTCTCGGCCAAGCACACACATTAATAACTGTAGTTTAACTTTACCAAAATTAATATTTGTATTTATATTTGAAGGCGTTTTTAAATTGCCAAACAAAGGGCTTTAGGGTCATATAAAGTATCTAAGAAACCTCCTCCACCTTTTTTTTTTTCAATAAACTTTTTTATTGAAAAAATGGGGGTAGAGGGTATTTGGAAAATATACGTACTTTTTAAGGGGGGTGGGGACTTAAAAGTACACATGGCAACAGGGGGAGGGGGTGTCAAATTTTAAAACTTTTGGCGTACGTACTTTATGGACAACCCCTAACGGACATAAGAATTAGTAGGTATTTTAAAAGAGACTTTTTAATCAATATCCAGTGTATAAAACAATATAACACTCGGAACATCTATACAAAAACGTTTAAACAAATTATTTTATACATACATACATGTACGTTAGTATGCATGTATGAACATATGTTTGCGATTTTCTTTTTAAAATAAAACTTTACCTGAGATCAGCAACAACATGTTTGTCTCGTTTGTTCATATTTAGCTGATCGGCCAGTCTAGACCAAGAATTAGTTGTCTGTTTACCAACTGATTGAATTATATAGTTGTCAACTAAAATTATTGTTTAATAAAATAAATAGCAATGTTTATTATTTATTATATTAAACAAAAAAAATATAATATACAAACCAACACTTTCATCATTTGTACAAATTGAAATCTTTGACTAAAAAATAAAAAAATTATAAAGTTATAAAAAAACATAAAAAATTAAAAAAGCAATGAAAATCAAATCAAATTAATAAAATGAGAAAAGAAAATAATAAATTACAAGAGAGTTTAAGTCAATATCCAGCGTGCATAAAGAAGGTATGCTTTTTGAAAATCCTTTTCTTAAACTTCCTAAGAACTTCATACGAAACTTTGCTTCACAATTAGCACCACTAGTTGAAATTTTGAATTTGCAACAATTAGGCAGAAAAGGATTAAACACTATTTTTAAACTGTGCGCTGGCAATATCACGTTTCCGACAACATTAATGTGAATCGTCTGACCAGATCGTATAGAGCAAAAATTTGACTTTCCAACTTCAGAAAAACCTTGACTGATTTCAACAGCTTGTTTATTCAATGTTTCTGCCGTTGAAAGAACTACGTGGATTTCATAGTTTTCACCAGAAAGATTCATTGCATAAACAACAAAAAATGCCATAAAGGGGGAGGTGCATACCATATCTTGCAAACCGCTTACTCTCTTTAAAAGTGTATCAATTGAATTAGTCTGAATAACCCAGTACCTATATCGAAAAGAATATTTTATTTCAAGTTTACAAGTATAAACAAAAAAAGTTTATTTTTATTACAAATAAAAAGCTAATTAAATAAACTTTGGAATTAAAAGGTTGACTTTGAGAGGTAAAAGGTTGAAAAATAGTTGCTTTGATAGTTTAAAAAAAATAGAAGAGACTGCAGTGTCTCCAGCAGCCTTGAGGAGGTGAATACGGTACTAATATATATGATTCACAAACTTCAAAGTCAAGCTAATATTTGACAGGATAAATTTTTTTAGATTTATAAGTTAAAACTCATAAACTGTGTTCCTACCTTGTAAATTCTGTAGTTGAAAAGCTTACGATTTCACCAACTATTGTCAAAGCTGTTTCATTAGTTATATCTTTCCAAGTACAATCAGCTCTATCATTGGTTGATTTTCGAGGTGAGCGAGGCATCCAGCCTAGCAAACGAACTTTATTCTTAGAGACTAATTCTTCATATAGCAACCACGGACAAGGAATATTTATTATAATAGGTTTTGACAGTATTGTGAGAGGGTCAAGACTTAGTATTGGACTTACAAACGTTTCATCATTTAAAGGAAGAAGAAAGTTATCACACTCTTGAACCTAAAAAAAATTGCATTAATATAATAATAAAGATGTCCTGATTATTTTTAGGATCATCAGGAAGCTTCCTAATGATTTTCTTACAATTTTTTAAAAACTAAAGTGTTCAAAATAGTAAAAATTAAATTCAGTGCCAATCTTAGGAGAAATTTTTGATAATGTTCAGTTTATATATACATTGAACATATTTAAAATTTGGGTAAATTTTCATCTAATTCATTAATATATTTTATGCACTCTAATTCTTAAGTTGTTTTGCTATTTTTTATTTAAATATATATATTTTTTTGTACTATTAGATTAAAATGCTTTGATAAAAATCATAAGAATAAAAATGCAAAAGTGAAAACTACACAAAAAATGGACTTTAAATGAATGTAAACGTGGAGATGTATATAATTGAACATTATCAAAAATTTCTCCTAAGATTGGCACTGAATTTAATTTTTACTATTTTGAGCACTTTAGTTTTAAAAAATTGTAAGAAAACCAAAGTGCAGAAGTTTTGAATCTTTGGTTTCAAAAAAAATCATTAAATGTATGATAAAATAGTGTTTATTATTGTCTGTAAGACATGGTGGATGTAGTGTTAAGGTGTGGGACTGTTTTAGTTGGAATGCAACAAGTGACTTTGTAAAAATAGAGGGAATGATGACAAAAGTAGTTTCTTTGTACACTTAAAAAATCATGCTACACCATCGGAAAGATGGGTTAATGGAAGCCATTGATTTTTTCAGAAGAAAATGACATAAAGCTTAAATCTAAAACATATTTTTTAAACAATTATATAAGTTATTTGATTTAGTTCTAGAACGATATTGAATAAAATATTGAATAAAATAATTTAGCCTGCCCAATCACAAAATCTCTCTCATATCATATTTTTATGGGAGGAAATAAAAATAATGTCAAAAACTAATGCCTTATGATGCATAAGATGTGGAAAAAACTTATTAGTTAGTGGCATAAAATTGACGCCGACAAACTGAATAAGTCATTAAGTAGAATGGCAAGAATATATATGGCGGTTATAGTCGCTAAGGGTGATTAAAAGGCAAGTAAATCATAAACTAACCTAATGGGACTTTATATTATTTTATTTGTAAACCTAATAAATAGGAAGATAACATATAACTCAGATAGACTTTGCTTTCAGTTTCTCTACCAATAGTAAGTAAAACTTTGATATCTTACATCAAAAAATACGACCATTAAAATAATCATGGGTGGTAGTGTATATATATAATAGCATATATGAATCGCTAACTTGAAAAAAGGGGACATATCCTTCAAAAATTCACATAACATGTCCCCTTTTTCAAGTTAGCGATTCATATAATCATGTAACATTTATATTAAGGTTCAAGCTATAACTAATTTATATATATGGCTTAAATTAACAACCTGAAGCACAACTTTAGTTGTAGTATTTAATGTGTTAGGAGGGAAAACAACTTTAGCTTCAGGAAAAAAACTAGATTGTATTGTGCCACCTTCTGGAAACATGAGAAAACGCTCTTTTTTTGGACGCGATATGACAACAACTCTTTCAGGAAATTCTTGAACAACAGCTTTTAAACGCCCTTCCATATTTTCTTCCTCTGCAAAATAAAAAAAATAAAAAAGTTATTGTTTTCAAGTTTAACTTTTTTAGTGTTTGTAAATGTTTTAAAGGTAATCTCATATTATAAAAATGTTTACTAAACAATAAAAACAGGATTGTACCATTTAGGTTGTCATTTATCGAAGACATGTGTTCTTTCCAATTTGAATATTGTGATGTAGACCTCATTACAACTAATTCCCGCTCAATGCATTCTGTTGCATAGTGAGGTATCTCGATAACAACAGGTTCAAGAAATTGCACTGATGGTGGTGATAATTGCAGAATATGACTAACCATGGCTTCATTGTAACTCAAATGTGGTGCATAAGACATAACACTATAAATAACACAGCAAATTTTGAGTGAAAAGTGTTACTAACTTTTATTTTTTTATTTTTTCAAATAAGTTTATAAAAATTAAATATATAAAAATTATAATTTTAAATTAAATATACAAATTGGATAAAAATGAAACAATTGATAAATAACATTTTATTGATCACCCTAAAAAATTTTTAATAATTCTTTTCATGATTGTATGAATTATCAATAAAGCATAGTCTTGACCATGTTTTAATTAATAAGTTTTATGCAACTTAACATCTAGATTCATCATAGTTACAGTGATGTAGTCACTATGAACATTGCTCAACCCATAAATACTCATGATTAAGAACTGATCATAAACCAAACCTAGAAAGATGGATAAACTTTTCTTGTGGAAAATATCTTGTAATATTCCACTATTCAACTTTATTAGGAGGGTTATATCCTGGGATTAAGAAATAGATAATTTGTATAATCTCTGCATGGTCCACCATTCTAAGAGGTAAGTTAGTAGTGAAAATCATTCTTCCTATCTGTTCATCAAATACTTCTTCAGATTTTGTGGTTTTGATAAGGTATAAATCCAACTTACTTTTTAGTGCATTTGAATAAATTAGATTAATAAATAATTAAAAACAATTACATTCAAATTGGATTTATAGATCATATAGAAAATTTATTTTCTGTATGTTCTTATATATATATATATATTTTATATAGTCCCTGTTTGAAGTTTATTACCTATATTTTAAAATTATTAATTTGTTTTTTAATAAAAACAATTTTTAAAAGATTTAAATCAATTTTAAACACAAGTTGCAAAAATAATTCTATAAACTACACAAAACGTTGGAAAGTACATCACTAGTCTTATGTCCATACTGTATTTCCACTATCAGTGCACACGAGTTTTAAAAAATACAACTCACTAAGAATGAATTTATCTTTATATTTTCAGTAAATACTAATTATGCTGCTAATAAATATAAAACTAAATAAAAAATCTTCACACCTTTTTATTTTACATGAAATCCTAGTTGGTGAATCACAAGCACCTTCTGGAACAATCATTTTGACACCAGTTTCACTACTTTCCATTACACAACCTCTTGCGTTTACAATAAAGCATTCTAGAAATCTGTAAAAAAAAGTCAAAAATTTTTAATAATTTAAAAAGTAAGAAAAAACAATTCAAAGAATATATATTTATTAATCATAATTTATGAAAAGTTAGACCATAATTTGTTATAACTAGGATTCAATACAATTAAAAAAAATACAACAAATTCTAATAGGCTTTGCACCCTTATCATTAAGGTAGCATCCACTTTTTTTATTAATAATTTTATGATTGCCTAACATTTTTAAACAATTTTAAGCAAAAATATCATTTTAATTTTATTTTTAGAAGCCAAACTTTTATAATTTGACGACTTCAAAAATTTGTATTATTATTCAAGGAGTGTTTTCTTTTTTACAACTTCTTGTCATCAAAAGTATCTACTTCATAAATTTCCATAGTACTCTTGAAATAATGTTTTTTTTTAAAAACAAAACAAAGCAATTTTACAATTTGCTTGTACATTTTTTTTTAATGAATTAAATAAAGATAAATTCATAAATATTATGAATTTGTTATTTAAAATTAATAATAAAAATAACTTATGCAAATTTCATGAGAAAAATTAAAAAAAATTTTTTTGCTAAAATTAATGTGATCAATTAAAATAATTAGTTACAGATACTTTTTATTGTAAAAGTTAATCAAAAAAAAAAAGAAAAAATTACTTACTCTCCCTTTTTTGAAGATTCCATCTTACATTCAACATTGCTACACTGTTTGTTTAACAGAGGCACAGTATCTTCATTTACAACGCTTTCCAAAACACTTTTTTGAAACTTAGCTATCACTCTTGGAGAGGAAGTGTTTATGTCTTTAAAAAGTGTAAAAATACAAAGAAAGTAAGAAGAGGAAAAATTTGAAGTAAAAATTAATAAACAATAAACAAAACAAACAAAAAATTGTTGACTTAAGTTTTTAACTTTTAACTTGAAATAAATTTTACATAAATGAAGCCACTAAAAATGCTAAACTTTTTAATTATCAAAAAATTATACAAATGATAATACAATACGATTATGTGTAAAGAGAGATTATTAATTGGATTTATATATAAAAGGAAGTTCATAAAAAAAGGTTCAACTAATAAAATTGTAGTTAACTAAGTGATCATTTCATTCAAGTGTATCTAGGCCTCTCAGCTTATGATCAAAAAATTTCCGAAAATCATTTGAAATTTTTTGGTACATAGAACTAAGAAAAAACATAACTTACACCAATACAAAAGACATAGCGAACACAAAATTTAAAAATATTTACAAAAAACAAAGCTTATTTAAAAAAAATATAATATAAAAAAAAAGTTTATTAATAAACATAGTGTACACAAATGCAAAACCTGATAAATACCAAATTGAAATAATTATTAAGAGCAAAAGAGCTAAAAAAGATGCCTAAAAGTTTAAAACCGAAAAGATGGATTTTAATATCTGATGAAACAAACATTAAAGCTGACTTTAAACAATTATAAAACACTTAAAATTTTATTGCACAATTTATTGTGCAACAAAACTGTAAGTGAAGTAAATGCTGTCAAAAAACTAATGGCACACATCAAAACAAAAGTTAAAATTGTGCAAAGTGTGAAGAAGAAAATATATAAATAATAAACTTTAAATATGTAGTCAATTAACATTAGGGTGTTAAATGAGATTAAACTTTGTTTAATGTTAAGTTTTTAAAGTTTATAATTAAATATCATCATTTGACATTGGAATTAAATATCGTCATTTGACATTGGAATATTCAATATAAATGTATCAAACATTGAAAAAAATATTTTTTTGATAAAAAAAAAATCAATTTATTTCACTTAATTAGTTTTTTTATTTTCCAGAAAAAAAAACTCATACACTAAATGCCTAAAAATAACACAATATGACAATTTGACACAATGTCAAAATGACAAAATAACCAATATAAAATAAATAATTCAATATTTATATTTCTAGCTTTAAACATCAACAATTATTTCTTAAAGTAACTTTGTCTAAAAAACATAACAGTCCATCCGATATCATCCAATATAACATCCGATAACAGTTTAAATATTGCTTAAAGCAATAATTAGATAATTATCGGATATTATAATTGACTGTCATTGTTGGTTATTATAATTTCTAGACTGTCATTGTCGGTTATTATAATTTCTTGAATGCAAATCTTGTGTTTGCCTGTGTTTCAATAATTCAATTTATTCTGAACAAGTTATCTATTAATAGCTGTTTTAATCAGTTTTATAATATCAACTATTGATACCATAATATCAATTATTATCAATTAAAACATCAGTTAATCTATAATAAATTAATTATAGAAACTTTATGAAAATAAAGTTAATAAATTAACCAATCAAAATATAGGTTAATCATTATAACATCAACTTAACATCAAATTAAACAAAAATTATTACATTAATTTACCATCAAAACAAAAGTCGTTGTTAATGGATTCTATCTGTTCTTGATTTATTACAAAAATTGGACTTTCAGATTCATCAACATATTTATCATTTTTTATTTGAACATTTTTGGGTAAGCTTTTGGTTGTATGTTGTATAGAAATATTATGTTCTGAAATTTCACTTTCATCAAATCCCATAAAAGATTCTTCAAAATCTTCTTGCAGTATATGCTGCTGTATTTCAGCTAAAAATACAAATTAATGGATTTTGAAATATTTTTTGTTAATAAACTTTGATTTATTATTTATTGTTGATTTAACTAAGGAATAATTTATTTATTAGTTTAGTTACATAACCTTTCATAAATACATTACAATTTTTATCCATTCTACTAAATAAACAAATTTAAAATTTTTTGTAAGCCATTCATAAAATCTTACATTCTTCTTCTGCTTCATCATGCGAATCAACTAATTGCATCTCATCTAGATCTTCTGGTGCTGTAAACGCACTACGAACTTTATCTTCAGTATTGATCTATGAACAGAATTATTTGACTATCTTTAAACATTAAGACTAGATTAACTAAGATTATACATATGTAAATAGAATTTACGCTTTTATCTTTAAAAGGTTTTTAAAATTATTTTAAAAAACAAAATGAAAAAAGTAAAAGAAAGAATTGTTTAAAAATAAAAACTATAAAACTATAAAACTTCACTTAAAAATCATTGAAATTCTTCAACAATCAATCAAAACTGAAACATGAAATAAATGATACTGAAAACTATTTACAAGTAGTATATTTTTCTGAAAAAATCTGAACAACAAAAAAATTCTAAACAAAAACAAAAACTTGGCAATAAAGATATAAAAACATTCTACTTAAAAAAAAAAAATACAAAGCTAGTAATAGCAAAAATCAAAAAAAATATTTCCACCATAACAGTTGTATATAATACGTAGGACCATAACACTACTGTTATGGTCCTATGTATGGTACTGCAGTATTGACTTAAAAATTTGTACTGTATTAACTATCAAAATATCTTTACTATATAGACTAATACTTAAATTATCTCCAACATATTGCTATAAATTAGTTACTATAAATTTAATATAAGCTAAAAATAATATTTTATGAAAAGAATTTTTAAAAAACTAAATAGTGGAACTATTAAAAACTATGTTAAAAAACTATAATTTAAGCAATAAAGTTATTATTTACATAAATTCGCATAAATATAAATATAGCGTAATTATTTTACAAATTTTTTGTGAATGAAAATATGAGGTACGAAAATGAATATTATTTAACCTACAAAAATATCTTATGCAAAAGTTTCAAAGTTGCACCCGATCAAAAAAAGATCAAAAGATGTGACATAAAAAGTTTTGAAATAAGATTTAATCAAAATATTTTTAAATAATTTAAAAGAGTGAAAAAAAATTAATCTTTATTTTAAATATAAAAAGTTCAATGAACACATTTTATGTATTCTGTATGTTATATCTAAATATTTTAATGTTCGAGATATGATGATGGGTGGCAAACTATCGCCATTAGCAAGATCATGCAGTAAACTTCAAACAAATTTCATTATAGTTCCAAATAAACGTGTCTATAAAAAAATCATGTCAGTTTAAAAGTTGTTTAACATTAAGAGCCTTTTTTTATTTTTTTATTTAATATATTTAAATGTATAAAAAAAATATTTTTCTCTTGGGTTTGATTAAACTAAAATCAATTTAATCATAAAAAAAATATTTTGATTGCAGAAAAAGCTTTTGTATGAGCAAACTTTTTTAGGCGCTCTAAATTTCTAAAAATATTATTGAACAATCCAATGTGTACATGAAAAACCTTTTTATGTACAAATTGGATTACTCAATAACTGCTAACAAAATTATATTTTGTCAATATAAATACTCTTAAAAAATACGATATACATTTGTCTTTTACTTGATAAATGTTTTTATAACATATAAATATCTTGGCTTGTGAAAGACCTAAAAAAAAAAAAGAATTTTTCGTATAAAATAACTTTCTAATCTAAGCAACATTATAAAGTATTATAAAACTGTTAAATCTATAGCAAAAAGACTTAAATATTATTTTAGTGATGCAGTTTAAATAATGAGTATCATTGTAAAGTATGACATTTAAAATGGAAATAAAAGCTAACTTTCTACTAACTTTTATTAATTAACTAAAGAATATTTTAAAAGCTTAAAAAGATGTTGCAACACTGGCAAAGCTGTCTTTAATGAAAATAAAAAATTTACTTCTTTGTCATTCTTTTTTGAAATGGTGATTTTTGTAACTTTTATAAGAATATTCACAATAGTCTTTTGCTGGGTAACTTCTGCTATATAGAGAGAAGAGTATCCATCCTGTGAAAAAAGTTTTCATTTTATTTTGTGAACCAATTATCTAATAGTAACTTAAAACTGAAAAAATATATACTACAAAATAAAGTAATAAGAACCTTATTTAATGCGTTTGGAGGCGCATTATATTTCAGAAGCAACTGAATTATGTCTTCATGACAATAATATGTTGCAATATGAAGAGGTGTGTTTCCATTCTAAAATATTTATGTATAACAACTTTAAATGTAGTAAAAATAAACTTTAAATGAAGTAAAAATAAACTTTAAATGTAGTAAAAGTAAAGATAAATAACAATTTTTATTGAGAAATCAATAAAAAAACATACTTTGGTTTTTGCCTCTACTTCAGCTCCATCAGCTAACAAGCTTTCTGCAACACTAAGATGCCCATAAAGGGCTGCCAGATGCAAAGGTGTGTAACCACTCTGGATAAAAAATTCAATTATTTATACTTGAAACTGTTAAAAAGTCTCATGAGTGATCAAGGGCATGAAATGTCTGACATCAAACTCAATCAGCTATAGTCATATTAGTTGATCAACTGGCATCGGATTCAACCAATAATAGTTAAACCCATCGCTGTCTATCATAGTTTATCTGATGAATGCTGAAAAATGTTTGCCTATATTTTCAACAATGGTGGTCAAATTTTGCTTGTTGATGATCACACATTTATGTTAGTGGTCACAAATGCTATATGTTAGTTGTCATATATTTAAGAGCCCACTTCACATAGTCACACTTTCACATTTTTGATTGTACTTATGTCTAAGAGGTCACTCTTTCAAGTTTTTTGTCAATTTTATGTGTTATTAGTACCACCAGTATTTCGATCTATGTTTTTAATGGTATTATTTTTTCATATTCTCAAGAAATAAAATTTGAATAGATATAAAAAGAAAAAGATTAGGTTTTTTTTTCTACATGCAACCAAAAAGGAATACCTGTGTTGAAGAACTATTATTTGCACCATACTTAAGCAACCTTTTAACAACTTCTAACTGATTAAATCGAACGGCAAGATGAAGAGGTGTCAAACCATTCTGTGAAAAATAATTATAAAATACTTTACTAAACAATTTTGTTAATTCCATAAACATACAAAAGTTAATTAACTGCATACACATCAAAATAATACTTAAGCATACATAAGTCTGAACTCCAGGAGAAGCTCCATTATCCAAAAGTAAATCTAATATTTCAACATTTCCGTGTTGTGCAGCTAAATGTAATGGACTAATACCACTTTTTGTTGTTTGCTCAGCTTCAACTCCACGATCAAGAAGTATTGATACAATATTAATTTGGTTTTTCTTTGCAGATATATGAAGAGGTGTATATCCATTCTATATTAACAACACTTTCACAATCATTAATATATCAATAACTAAATTATTTGATTTCATAATCAATATAATTTTACCTTAGCAACAGCATGAAGATCAGCACCACTATCAAGCAACTTAACAGCAGCATCAGGTTTATCATAATGACATGCAAGATGGAGAGGTGTTAACCCATTCTGCGTGTAAAATAAAAGAGAATAAGAATAAAAATTTTAATAACACTTTTTAATATGCACATAATACCAGGCTACACACTAATCTGTCAGTTATTACACTTGGTTCCTAAAACCTAGCATTTGTATATGTAAGTATGCATGCATATATACATTAGGGTGGTCCAAATTTTACACATTATTTAAAATGCAGACTCCACAACCAAAATGTGTTCTATATAATAACATAATACTGGAGTTAAAAAATCTTCAAAAAAAATAATTTTAGGGGTAGCAATAGTCTCTAAAACATCAGGCGGGCCCCTAATATTATCAAGACAAAAAGTTCTTTAAAAGTATATTATGTTTGGTCTCAAAAGAAGAGAAATTTTAAAAAAATTTATAAAAACACAAATTAAAAAAGTTTATTAAAAAAAAGCTTTGGTAAATATATATATATATATATATATATATATATATATATATATATATATATATATATATATATATATATATATATATATATATATATATATATATATATATATATATATATACTCTTGCATGTCTCTTGCGTGGCATCAAAAAATATTTCCCATAAACTGTAGTTTTAAAGAGCGCGTTAATAAACCAGACCAGAAAAAGTTTTAAAAATTAAATTTTTTTTTTAAATTGATAGACTGCCTGGCCAAACCAAACCCTCAGTCGATGTAGCAGCACTCTCTTGCGAGTCAGGCTATTTGTCAGTCGTTGTAGCAGCACTCTCTTGCGAGTCAGGCTATTTGTCAGTCGATGTAGCAGCATTCCCTTGCAAGTCAGGCTATTTGTCAGTCGATGTAGCAGCACTCCGTTGCGAGTCAGGCTATTTGTCAGTCGATGTAGCAGCACTCCGTTGCGAGTCAGGCTATTTGTCAGTCGATGTAGCAGCACTCCGTTGCGAGTCAGGCTATAAGATAGTCGATGTAGCAACATTTACGCATGTTTTAAAAATGTTTTTTATTAAATCAATAACAAAAACACCACTAATTAAAAAAAACTTTCTAGTCGTTATAATTGCGGTTTTTTAAAAAATTTTTAAAAAACAATTAATTTTAATGTACTTCCGCATAAATTAATTGCTTTGACATTTCGATGACAATCAAAAACAGCTTAAGAGACGAGGTAATTAAAATTGTAGTCGTAAGAGACTTTTTTTACATTAAAACGCTCTTTCGACTACACTATAAGGGTATATATATATATATATATATATATATATATATATATATATATATATATACACACACACACTTACTAAAGCATGTTTTGATAAGCATTTGCTCACTTTTTCTGCTTACCTTAAACTATACAGTTTTTTTCAAAAAGGAAGAAAAAACGAAGAATGATGAATGAAACGATGTAGCAGCACTCCACTGCGAGTCAGGCTATTTTTCAGTCGATGTATGCACTGAAGCCCCCAGCAGCAGGCTATTTCAGTATGATGTCAGATTGCTTACCATAGTACGCAATACTATTTGTATATATATATATATATGTACATGTATGTATATGTATATATATGTACATGTATGTATATGTTTATATATGTGATTATATATATACATACATGTTTATATATGTGATTTTATATATACATACATATATGTATATATATATATATATATATATATATATATATATATATATATATATATATATATATATATATATATATATATATCGGGTGGACACGGAAAAATCCGGTCAACTTTAAATTGAGATTTCTCTAAAACCATAAATGCTTTTTATTTCAATTTTTTTTTATTAAATGTGTTTACATAAATTAGAGTATCAACTTAATTTTAAGGGGCTTGATGGGTTGCTTTGCAAGAAATCGAACTTTATAGCAGGTTGATGCCATCATTTTACAGATTTTTTCTTTTTTCACCATATTGGTGGCATTAATCCACTTTTTTTGGAAGTCCTTTTTATTATTTGTTAGTCCACCTGTCTCAAGAAGAAATCCTTTAACTATTGGCCAAAAATCTTCAATCTTGCGCTCTTCAGGACAATTCGCATCTTTAGGAACAATTTTCACATTATTATCTTTGCACCACTGTAAAACTTTTTTAGAATAGTGAGAGGCAGCATGATCGGGCCAAAAGAGACATCGGTATTTGTGTTTTTTTATAAAAGGCAAAAGTCTTTTTTGGAGGTATTCTTTGATGTAGAGATTGGCAGTCAAGGTCTTTTTAGTGACAAAACAAGAGGACTGCATATCACAGCTACAAATTGCTTGCCACACAAGGAACTTGGATGCAAATTTTTCTCGTTGAATATATTTAAATTGATCATCGACAAGTTTATCTTCGTTTTCATAGTAAAACTGTTGACCAGGAAGTTGTGAAAAATCCGCCTTGCAATACGTTTCGTCGTCTTCAATTATGCACATATTTTTATCCGCCATTATTTTAACCAACTTATTTGGGCGTCTAATTCCTTTAATTTCACAATTTAAGCTTCTCTTAGGTGTATTTTTTTTATGAAATGCTTTAATTCCAGCATTTTTAAGTACTTTTTTGATATAAGAACAAGAAGTCTTAAATTTTCTTGCTAGATCTCGCTGTTACTGATTTGGATTTCTTGCTATTGAACGTAAAATCGACTTTACCTTTTTGGATTTATGGAAAGCTTTTTTTCTTTCAAAGCTTTGAGTAGTCTTGAACTTGTTTATAATATCTATGACTGTAGATTTTGGGACATTTGTGCATTTAGCAATCAAGCGATAGGAAGTCGATGGATTTTTGCATAAAAATTCACAACTTTTTTACGCACCTCAACTTGTTTCCAAAACATTTTGCAAATCATTAACTTGTAAACAAAAATTTATCAACACCATTTAAGATAAGGAAGTAAGGTTTAATTAAAAAAAAAAAAATTAAATAAAAAGCATTTGTGGTTTTGGAGAAATCTCAATTTAAAGATGAACGGATTTTTCCGTGTCCACCCGATATATATATGTACATGTATGTATATGCATATATATGTGATTATGTATGTATATGCATATATATTGTGCTCGAAAATTAAGGTGACTTAGTAATTTTAAGGAAAAATTGTTATTTATTTATCAATATTTATTTTGTCCCTCTTAAAGTAATCCCCCTCAGATACAATACACTTATACCAACGGTTTTTTCAATCCTCAAAGCACTTCTCGTAAGCACTTTTCGGTATAGCCTTGAGCTCTTCCAGCGATGCAGTCTTTATCTCTTCAATCGCTGCAAATCTCCGTCCTTTCATAGGTCTCTTTAGTTTTGGGAACAAGAAAAAGTCACATGGGGCCAAATCCGGTGAATATGGTGGCTGAGGCATGATTGTGGTGTTGTTTTTGGCCAAAAAATCTCTCTCAAGCAAAGATGAGTGAGCAGGGGCATTATCGTGATGCAAAAGCCATGAATTGTTTTTCCACAATTCTAGACGTTTTTTTCGTATTGCTTCTCGCAAACAGCGCATAACTTCAAGATAATACTGTTTATTGACCGTACAATCATATGGTAAGAACTCCTGATGCACCACGCCATGGTAATCGAAGAAAACAGTGAGCAAAACTTTGATATTTGATCGAATTTGGCTTGCTTTTTTTGGTCTTGTCTCACCTAGGCTCTTCCATTGGGACGATTGGGCTTTGGTTTTAATATCATAACCATATATCCATGATTCGTCACCAGTTATGACCCTTTTGAGTAAATCTGGGTTGCCATTGACGTCATTCAACAGTTCTTGAGCAATGCTCATGCGACGGTTCATTTGGACAAAATTGAGTAATTTTTGAACAAACTTCGCTGACACATGTCTCATGCCCAAAACATTAGAAAAAATTTCATGGCACGAGCCAAGCGACATACCAACATCATCAGCAACTTCTCTGATAGTGATTCAACGATTTTCCAAAACAATTCTCTTCACTGCTTGAACATTTTCACAGGTTGCTGACGTGGTTGGGCGTCCAGAGCGAGGCTCGTCATTGGCATCTTCCCGGCCATCTTGAAAGAGTTTGTACCTCTTGTAAACATTTTTTTTACTCAGAACAGTTTCACCGTATGCCACTGTCAACATTTCAAGTGTTTTGGAGCACTTGATTTTTTTTTTACACAAAATTTGATCAAAATCCTTTGATCCATATTTTTCCATCCAACCAAACAAAAAATGCTATACACTTGAAACTTGGTACAAATGTTCAAGAAGAGTGTAACAACATAACAAAACAAAAAAATCTATAATCGAAAGTACGTTGCCTGCGAAATTTGAAAAGTCACCTTAATTTTTGAACACACCTCGTGTATATATATATATATATATATATATATATATATATATATATATATATATATATATATATATATATATATATATATATATATATATATATAAAGGATGACACTTAATTGAATGACAAGTAACACGAGAATGAATTTTAGTAGATGGCACAAGAGACGCTAGCTCTTTAGAGCAGTGCCCATTATAGTATTTGTAGAAAAGAGAAAAAGAAGCAACATTACGACGATGTGACAGAGGTTGAAGGTTGGCTGCAAGATCAGGTTCAACTATGTTTACAATACGTTATTGCACCTTGTCTAAAAAAGAAAGGGCATCATTAGGAGATCCACCCCAGATATGGCAACAGTATTCCATACAAGGACGGATTTAAGATTTATAGAGATAGAGAATAGAATCTAGAGTTAGAAAGTATTAAGCTCGATAAAGAGATGAAACTTTAGCAGATGCTAATTTTGCAACAGATTTGATATAAGGTTTCCAAGAAAGATCAGAAGTAAGAGTTAATCCTAGAAGATGAAGGGTAAATGACTCATCGAGTACATTACCGTTCATAAATAAAGGAAGGTCAAATTATTGCAATAATAATTGGCTAAATAAAATTGAGTTTTAATTGAATTAAAGTTCACCAGCCACTGTGACCCCCATGCTGTAGCAGAGGTGAGATACTTTTCAAGTTCAAATGTCCCCTGCAAGCAATCAGAGGGAGTTGGCTTCTTATCGTGACAAGAATAAATGGTAGTATCATCAGCGAACAATGCCACCTCAGATGTGAGAATATCTGGAAGATCGTTAATGTAAATTAAAAAAAGTATAGGGCCAAGGATTGAACCTTGAGGAACCCCTGAGGTAACAGAATAAGAAGAAGAGTGCTGTATATCAAAGACAACTTTAATACTACGATTGAAAAGGAAAGATTCAATAATCATAAAGATGTTTGCAGATACACAATAAAAAGAAAGCTAATGAAGAAGACCAGCATGCCAAACTTTATCAAACGCTTTAGAAATGTCAAGAGCGATGGCCTTAACCTCTCCACCTTTATCTAATGCGCGATAAAACCTATCGGTTATTACTGTTAGCAATTCAGCAGTAGAACGAGAAGATCGAAATCCATATTGATGATCAGAAAATAAGTTATTAGATTCAAGATGAGAGATTAAGTGTTTGTTAATTAAAGATTCAAAAACCTTGCTTATGATGGGAAGAAGACTAATGGGACGGTAGTAAGACGAATCAGAACGCTCTCTAGAATTTTTAAAAATAGGGATAACAGATGTTGCTTTCCAGCAGGCTGGAAAACAAGACTCTGATAAGCACTTGTTAATAGTTTTGAAAGGATAGATGAAAACTTATAACAGGTATGTTGTCCAGGCCACAAGCTGTAGAAGAGTCTAAGCAGGAAATCACTTTAGATACAGTAGCTGGAGTGATACGGATGTCGAGCAATGAATCAACCTGTTTGACGGCTATTTCAGGTAGAATGCAACTAGTGGAATCAAGAGATGATATCGATGAAAAATTCTTAGCAAACAATTTAGCTTTGTCTTTAGGTGAAGTGACAAAGTCTGAACCATACAAAAGAGGTGGAATTACAGACTTGCCCTTATTATTGATACTATTAAAGATTCTCCAGAAGTCACGAGAGCCTAATTTTTGTGATGAAATACGAGATTTCATGATCTGAGAATAGCAGGCTTTGGTGTTGGATAAAACCTTTTTACAATGGTTCCTAGCAGTAATAAACAGACGTCTGTTTTCTGGAGAATTGTTTTGCTGTTAGATATGGAAGTAATGGTTTCAAAAGGTAATTGCAGCAGCACAATGTGAGGAAAAACATGGAGAAGAGTGATTCTTGACCTGGAATCGTCGAGAGGGAATAAAGGATTCCATGCCAGCCTGAATCTACGAAGCTATGTAAGAAGCACATTTGTCAAGAGGAAGACAAAAAATTTCTACCCAAGGGCCATCACGAAGAAAATCATGGAAAGAGTTCCAGTTGGCTTTAAGGTAGTTGTAAGAGGTACAATGATAGGGGAATTCAGATGATGAAAAAGAATGAGATAATAGTTTTAGAGAGATCAAACTGTGATCAGAGGCACCTAAGGGTGAATGTGGAGAAACTGAGCACTGACTATGATCAGAAAAAAGACACAAGTCGAGTAGAGAAGTTAAATGATTCAGGTTGTCTGGAAAGCAAGTTGGAAAGTTGACTATTTCAGTAGGGAATGAGAAAAAAGTTGTGGGCTTTAATGCCTGCAGAGTCACTGACACTAGAGCCAAGCCATTCAGTGTGATAAACATTAAAGTCACCTACAACAACAATATTGGCTGATGGATAAAGACAGAGGGCTTAATCAAAATGATCAGAAATAACATCAAGAAGAGTGCACTCTTGAGATGAAGGAGAGTGATATAGAACAAAAAGAAAGGTGATAGATTGAAGTGGTGCTAAACAAAAGCACATAAGAGTAGTTTGTGGATTCAAACCTAGTTTCCCGACAAATGGGTGAATTCTTATGAATGTAAATGCCCAGGCCAAGCATGTGACTATTGGAGTCTTTACGAATTAAAGGAAGATAGCCATCAACACTAAGATCACAAGATGAGACAGCTGAACTCAAATTAGTCTCACAAAGAGCAAGTAGGTCTGGTGAACTTTGCAAGAGATAAGTCTCAACAGAAGAAAAGTTACTTTAAAGACCACGAATATTAGTGAAGCTTGGTGATATTAGTGAAGCTTGGAGCTTAGGTGAATATTAGTGAATATTAGCTTAGGTGAATATTAGTGAAGCTTGGAATATTAGCGAGCTTGGTGATGACTGTGGTTTTTTGTGTTTTATAGTTTTTGTTACTTTATTCATTTTTAAATTTTGTTTAAGAACTTGACTCGAAACATAGATAGTACTCAGTACACTGCTTAATAGCCCAAGCAATTGCCTCATTACTATTAATAAAGCCGTAACAAAGGGCTACTATGTGGCCTAGGAAATGCACACAAAAAGTACAAACAGGGACACCATCCAAGTACAACATGGCACTGTTAGTACTTTGTTATCAGCCTCTCTGAGAGCTACCACAGAGTTCGGGAAACGTGACTACCAGCCGGCCTCAGAACCATAAAACTGAGTTTTAGAGCTGTACCCTCATTAGGAGATAATAGAATCAGTTGCCTAGTCATAAAAACAGAGACACAAGCAAAACCCATGCATCGAGTCTAAAAAAAAACCAGCATTCAACATCCTAAACTGGAAACAATGTATTAAAAATACATCTGCGGCAGCCTAATAGATGAAGAAAGGGTGCGAGGCTGGTCAAAAGATAGAGTCTGTTTACCCCTTAAATATATATACATACATATTATTATATATACATATATATATATATATATATATATATATATATATATATATATATATATATATATATATATATATATATATATATATATATATATATATATATATATATATATATATATATATATATATATATATATAGAACCACCATTATGTATATATATATTTATAATATATTTATATATATATAATATATTTATATATATAAATATATTTATATACATATGTATACATATGTGTATGTATGTATGTTAGGGTCTTGACTTTTTGGTAAACTTTTGGTATCTTCAGTTTCCTGTATAAAAAACAGATGAACTTTGGACCCTTGATTACACACTGGCTCCCATATATCAGTGAATTTTTTTTTCTTTAAAAAATATATTAACCTGGGTCTCACAACTAGATATTATAGTGATTTCGTAATCTTTTCTACAGTAACTTTTTTTTTTTTTTTTTTAATTTTTAAACAAATGTCATAAAAAGCAACCTTTTCAATTTTCAGTTAAAATTCATTTTTTTGTATACAAAATTTAAGCTATTCATCTTTATTTGAAACTTTTATTATTTCTGAAAACTCTATAAAATTCTGGTTCTTTTGAGACCCAGTTTGATTACCTTTGAAGAAAAAAAACATCACTAATACATGGGAGCCAGTGTGTGATCAAGGGTCATGGTGGGTGAGTTTTTTCAAAAATTAAATAAAACCAATTACTTTTCAGTTACTTTCAAACCCAAGTTCATCTGTTTTTTATACACTAAACTGGAGATACCAAAAAGTAAACATCCTAATGTATGTATGTATATATATATATATATATATATATATATATATATATATATATATATATATATATATATATATATATATATATATATATATATATATATATATATATATATATATATATATATGTATATATATATATATATATATAATAAACTCAATTATTCACCAACATGAGCACTTTTACCTTGAATTGTTTAACATCAATAATTGGTTTGCGCTCTAAAAGCATACGTAATATATTCAAATTTCCTTTTTTAGCTGCTTCATGTAAGGGCGAAAAACCTTTCTATAAAGTAAATATATTTTCAAAACCAATACTTGGATATTAAATAAATAAATAATAATAATAATAACAATAATAAAAATAATAATAATAATAATAATAATAATAATAATAATAATAATAACCTTAGATACAACATTCACATCAGCATTGTGGTCGAGTAAACTTTCAACAACTTTTTCAGCACCATCACGAGAACTTAAATGAAGACATGTTGCACCTTCCTAAACATTTTTGAATATTTATACTAAACTATTTAAATGTTAATACATTTTAAATGAGAACAATCATGATAATAATAATAATAATGATGATGAAAATAACAATGATGATAATTATGATGATGATGATGATGATCATCATCATCATCATCATCATCATCATCATCATCATCATCATCAACATGATCATCATCATCAACATATTTATTTAAAATTAATCACACTTTTGCACAAAATATTTGGGGATCTTAAGTTATTAAAAAAAGCAAAATAAACTTTTTATTCAAATGAACAAATAATATAGGATATTAAAATAATATAGGATCACCAACAGAAAAGCGAACGTTTTATTCAAATTCTTAATAACTTGATCAAAATAAAAAGATCATGTGAGAACAAAGAAATGGCATGTAAAACCCTGATAAAGACAAAAACTCAGAATAATAAACTTAAACTTTTATTTATTTAATTGAAACCTGTATGATAGCATATAATTTAATTTTTCTTAATAATAATTTGTTATTTTCTTCTAATTTGGCTTGCCACGCCTAACAATAAAGCTGCCATTTCTTATAATGCCAGTTTGTCAACAAAGTTTGCTATAGAACCGGTGAACAAAATGCATTGGTACCAGCACAGCGTGCGAGCATTGTGTAAAGTATATTTTGCCAACAGCAGTAACACGGTAGTCCAATAAAGGCATGTTTGCTGAGATTCCTGCCAGTCCGATGATAGGTTTTCAATGGCTTGTGGATAAATGACCATTGTAGAACTGATAAACAAAATGCAGCAGTACAAGATTTATATTAGTTTGATATACTTTGGCTGGTACAGAAATTTCATTTAATCTCCGAACATTAAAACTTTGAACAACTATATACAAAACTTGTATACACGTATATGTTACTTCTGAGTCTTATTTTTCATATTCATGAATAAAGTTGTAAAAATGAGAACAGATATGTGTGAGATATACAGATTACACACAAACAGATCACTGCAGAAATCCTAATGTACACAAACAGATCAGACACAAACAGATCACTGCAAAAATCCTAATGTAGATGCATATATTAAGCTTTATAAACAGTATTCACCATTAACCATAAAATAGAAATAAAAAGCCACTGTTTAAAATAAAATAATAATACTATTATAAATTAAAAGTAGATCATCTTGAATTATAGATTTCAAATGCCAAATTGAATTCTTGGTTGAAATTTAAAAAAGTAATGCACTGCATTTGTGTAAAATAGTAATTGATTCAATATTTATGGTATATCAGATATACAGAGTAAGTTAGAAAGAAATATAAATGCATTTTTAAATTTTTTTACTTTAAATAAGTTTTCTTCAGAATAAAAGAATTTATGTTTTTGATTTTAAATTAAATTTAATTTAGATATTTAATTTATTTTTAAGGACTTCAAAATAATACTTAAGCATACATAAGTCTGAACTCCAGGAAAAACCTAAATTTACTGTTATGTCCTTACTTCTTAACCATATACCAGTTATATAAGAAATGAAGAGGGAGAAAATTCAATAATTGCCATTATTTTTTAAAATTTTTGTATGCCTAATTGGTTCTCAGATCTTATGTTGTTTTATAACTTGTATTTGAGCTCTAGATTTAAAATCTATGCAAATTTAAAATATTTAAATTATTCATGATAGATAATGATTAAATTATCAACTTTTCAAAATATGCCCAACCATATATACTTATCTTTGCATCAACTTTTTAGTTCTATATTTTCTATATATATATTTTTTAGCTTAAACTTTAAGGTCTTAGGTCTTTTCCAAGCCTCCATCAACAACACCCTACTTTACAACAGTTTTGGCACTCGGTAAATTTTTTTTATTATTCTTTAAACCTAATATCTTCTTGGGAAAAATCCTTTGAAACATTTTTGTGCATAAAATGTTATCATGAACTATATACAACCTTATACCATTGTTTTGTATAAAATACAAAAACACTTTAATTTTATACAAAACATATATATTTTACATATTTTATACATTGTAAAAACTATTTATTAAAATTAAAAAACCTTATTAGTTGCATTAGGATCAGCATGGAAATCCAACAATAAGTTTACAAGTAAGGCATTGCCTTGGCGACAAGCATTGTGTAGAGGAGTTTCTTCATCCTACAAATATAAAAGAATAAAAAAAAAGCCATATGAAAGAAAAAATAAAAATCAAATCTAGTATATTATTTGAAATACTTTAGATTTGACATTAACATTTGCTCCATTTCGCAACAAAAGTCTGGCAATTTGTATCTGGGATGCACGACAAGCAATATGAAGAACAGTTTCCTCACGCTAAAAAATTAAAATTTAAAAGATAAAATAAAATTAAAAGAAAAAAATTTAATTTTACTCATCTAATAATAGCTAAAATAAAATATACTGTTGTAACAGCTTCTATTGCTGCCCCTTCCTGTAGTAGCAACAATACAATGTTTGCATGACCAAAGAAAGCAGCAACATGTAAAGCAGTTTGTCCATTCTATAAATACAAAATTATAATAATAGTAATAATAACAATAATAATAATAATAATAATTATTATTATTATAATAATAATAATAATAATAGCATATAGTAATTATAGCAGTAATAAAATTTTTATATTACTTTTAGTATAATCATTAAGGTAGTTCAATACATTATTTTTCATAAATATACAGAAAAAAATTTATTATAAAAAATTATCACCTTAAAAAAATTTAAAAAAACCAATAGCTTTTATGCAATAAATATTTGCCATGAATTTGTTTTAATGAAAACATGCTGAACTGTTGCTTGCCACCATAGAAACAAAAATACACAACCATGTCTGCATGTATTATTGTCTAAATTTCAGTTAATTTCTTTTCTTGCATAGTAAGGCTCATTCACTATGAACAATATTATGCAATAAACCTTAGATTAATCTGCATTGAATTATATTCAAACCAAACAAAATTGTGTCAGATTGTTGAAATTAAAAGCAAATAATTTGCTTAAATAAATACAAAGTATTTATTTTGTATATATTATAAAACTAATAAAGTTACACAGGGCAGTATTAAACTTTAGGCTCAGTTTATGTTTGAAACTGTCGATATTAGAGGTATTGGCAACCTAGTCTGGTAGAGAGTTCCAATTATTTGCAACCCAATTGTTAAAAAAGTTATATTGAACCAGACAGTTAAAATTAATTTTTTGGCAAAAGCAAATTGCGTTTGCAATGATCATAAAAAAGAGGGGTGAATGATGCTTCAATACACAAGTTGATTGAATCAATTTTGTTTTCAAATATGAATTTTTGGACAAGATGAGTATGTTTCATTCTGTCATTGGACTTGGCCAGATCTAGTATATCTTGTTTGTTGGTCAAAGTGTTTCAATTCATGGAGTATTTTCGTGATGTGATTTTGAATTTGTATAAGAAAAGGTGAGGTGATAGCATAGTCACATGGGGACAGACATAAGTTGAGTAGTGGTTTTTCCAAATTTTCAATTCTCTGCTAACAAAATAGCAAATTGAAAACTACTTTAAAACACCTAAAGTTAAAGTCTTAAATGCTCAACTTTTGTACTTTAGATCATGAGAAAGTTAGACAGCAAGGTCTTTCACCAACATTGTTGGTTCTAGCAGTATTCTTTTGGTTAACCGTTTGAGTCATTTTTATCAATGAAATAAAGATAATAGAATAAATAAGAAGTAGATATTGTTTGGTTGATGAGCATAAGTTTACATTTTTTGATGTTAAGTTGCATGAGCCATATTTAAACCCAATTGACAATATTATCATTACCAGCTTGCAGAGAAAACAAATCAAGACAAAAGCTTGATGAAAACTTATTTTATTCTGATAAAATGAATTATCCTGTAAATGTGCTTTCCTATCTACTGATCTTCCTTAGTTTGTTTCTATTTTTTGTTTTATTTTTTTATTAACATCATTCAAAGCAAAAAGAAAAGAAAATTTTATAAGCATATTCTCAATAAAAATTTTATAAGCATATTCTCAATAAAAATAGTTTTGAAACTATTTAAAACCCATTTTAAAATATTCAAAATTGATTTTAATTCAAATGCCTAATGTAAAAAGCTTTTTCAATAAAATACAAGGTTTTGTAGACACTCCAGGTGTAGACAACAACTACAAGGTTGGTTGAATAAGACACAATTAAGACACACTTCAACTAAAAACAGATTTGATGTGAATGTGGCATAAGTTATTGAATTCATGCTCTAAATTTTTTACGACTTTTTTCATAATTTTTTAATAATATCTAGTTGGTTTAATGAAATTCCAATTCATTAAACCAACTAGATATTATTAAAAGATAAAAACAGAGAGATGTTTCCAGCATTTTTTTGCCCAGGATTTCAAATATAAAAAAATGGCGCTGGTGAAGATGTTTTTTTGCCTACATTTTGATAACTTATATAAATCCTTTTTTTTAGTAAGTTTCTTTATGAAATGAACACTACAAACAACTGATCACAACACAACTGAACTATAATCTCATTAAATAGAACTTTGGTGAATTCATGAAAAGGCAAAAGCTGAAACTAATAGCAAGAAAATTTTAAACATGTTGCAATATCATATGTTTTTCATAATGTAAGCATGAAAAACTGATAGACTTATTGAAAGCAGCCCATGCCGTCATAGGCAGAAACCTTTATGAGCCAACAACTTTTAACTGAACAAGTTATTAATACTTGTTCAGTGCAAGTGTTATCAAACAAATTAGTTCATTTGAGCTATTATCAGACAAATAATAAACTCCAAAAAAAATCAATTATTCAAATTTATATTTAACCAATAATCTCTCACTCCATTGAAAGTTACTAGCACAAATAAAAGTGAATATCACAACGTATGATCATCACCACTCATCTAACACCAATGAAATCTATAGCAGACCAATAAAATCTATCACTGACCAACAAAATCATCTAAATACTATATATTAAAAAAACAAAAAAGTGTAAGAAACCTTCAAAAATATAAAAGAGCAACACAAACATTATTTTTTGCTTCAACCATGACTTTATATTTCAATAAAAGTTGCACAATCGATTCTTGATTCCTTTTTGCAGCTATATGCAAAGCTGTGTAACCATTCTAAAGAAAAAGTAAATAAACAATAAAACTTTAATTTATTTCATCAAAACTTACACAGACTTTGCCAACATGCAAGTGTTTATCTATAAGTCAGTTAAGAAAGCTAAATAAGTGTTATGAAAAATGAAGAACCTTATAGTAAGATATCTATCTTATTAAAACTTAACATTGTATAAAAAATTTCATTTTAGTTTTCTATTCTCCTTTTTTTTTTTTTTTTTTTTTTTTTGGAAAACTGATTAAAGTTGGTATTTTAAAAACTTAAAGTACTGTGAAATGTGGTTACTTTGAACAATGGAATAACTTTGGACAAAGACTTTAAGTAAAACTCTTTCTACTAGAAAGTTTTACTTACAACTTTGAGTAAAACTCTCTCTAGTAGAAGCTAAATAAGTGTTAGGAAAATGAAGAAAAGTAAAACTCTTTCTAGTAGAAAGAGTTTTACTGCTAATTTTTGTTTAAAGTTACCCCACTGTGAAAAACAACCATATTTTTGGTGTGAATCAAACTCAAAACCTCTCGCTTAAGAAGCAAGCACTCTACCACTACACCACGACTGCATTTCACAGTAGGAAAATAATATTTACACAAAGCATCTCATATGCTGTGCAGATTTTAATAAAAAAAAAACTTTTCAAACTTTGAAAATCAGTTAAAAATACAAGAAATAAATACACTTATAAAAAAGTTAAATTTAAAAATTCAAAAGCTTATTATCTGCTGTGTAAAGGTTATTGTTGATTGTTTATTGCACAAACCGCTTTTAATAAAAACTTGAAATTTTTTTTTTTTAAATAAACATGTATGATAATAAATACATGTAAGTTAGGTATGGTAGTAAATATATGTAAGTTATGTGGAATAGTAAATATATGTAAGTTATATAGGGTAGTAAATATATGTAAGTTATGTAGGGTAGTAAATATATGAAAGTTATGCAAGGTAGTAAATATATGTAATTTAGGTATGGTAGTAAATATATGTAAGTTATGCAGTGTAGTAAATATATGTTAGTTACGCAGGGTTGTAAATATATGTAAGTTATGCAGGGTAGCAAATATATGTAAGTTATGTAGAGTAGGAAATTTATTATTTTTGTTTACATTATAATTGTAAAAAAGAAAAGGTTAATTTTAACATGGCTCTATATAGCCAAAAACAATAGAAAAAGTTCAGGAAAGATCAATAGAGCTAAAAACAATAGAAAAAAGCTCAGAAAAAATCAATTGAGCTAAAAACTGCTGAAATAATTATTTAATATACTTGTTTGTTTTTATCGTCTATGTCAAGAAATAAAATTTTATCTAGCTGTATTAATAGTTAAAAAAATTCAGGAGTAAATGGGAAAAAATTCAATTATTGTAATTAATATTTCAATATTTTTGTAAACTTGAAACACTTTAAAGAATATACATACATGAGCTCTTTTATCTATATCAGCTCCTTTCTCAATAAGTAACTTGCAAGTTGCAACATGACCATAATGAGCTGTAGTATGAAGTGGAGTGACACCATCCTTTAAGAAAAACATTTTTTAATTAATAAATACTTCCATATTAAATTAAAAATAAATGGTATACAATTAAGTTAAACAAATATTACATACAAAACCCTCGGAATTAGAAAAAATAAGGTTGGCAAAAAATTGCAAATTTTTATTATTTTTTAAAAAAACATTTATAATTTTAACCATAAAAATTTCACCATAGATTTTTAGTTAAGAAGTGAGCATAAGAGTCTAAACAAAAAAGTAGAGAATAATAGTTCGATAAAGCATTTGGAGCAACAAAGTTGTTCAAATCCGAATGAAGTAACTTAACGCATTACAAAGAAATGAAAATAATAACTGCAAAGAAACATCCAGAATTTTAAAGTATTATTATACAAGTTATTGGAGTTAAAACAGATAAGACTAAATAATTCTCCACATTTATTATTTATCACAAAAACTTGGTTTACTAGCATAATAGGTCAGTTCATGGTGGTAGAGTAGCTATTTATTTAAGAAGCGATCTAGATTCTTCAAATTCTTTTAAATACTTTTAAATCTTATTTTTGTAATTTGTATCTGGAACAAGTCTGGTGCTCAGTTACAATTATTAAAGTAAAAATCTTTTTAGCTACTTATTTTTATATTATTTATCGTTTATCAACCAACTAGTATCAATCCTAAGCAAAACAAAGTAATCAACAAAAATAACTAAAAAATGAAAAAAAACTTATAAATAATACAGACTGGTATAAACTATTATCAAATCAAAATATTAAAAAATCTATGAGATTTTTAAAAGAATACAACCGGATTTGCTTCATAACAATTTAACTTTAAAAAATGTGCTATGACACTTTTTGAATGGTTTAAATAGTTAAAAACTCTCCTTAAAAAGCTCAATGCAAAACTCATTTTCTAATAAATATACAGTTAAGGCCATTAGATCTTTATTGCATTTTTTCATGCTTTTACCATAGGATTTGAACTTTGATAGTGACTAACCTTGACTTTGTATACCAGATTTTCCAGCAAATATACAATGTTATTGTTTTAAAAAGGAATTAACAAAAACTAATTAAATTACTAAAAGTTAGGTGCCCTTTCCCCTGCCCATTTGATTGATGCCACCCCAAATTCTCCTCACCCTCAATTAGGGGGTGGGGAGGGGGTTTCCAGACCACATACAGACCACTGATCACCTATAACAAAATAGAATTTAAAGAAATAACGCTTTCAATTTGAAATTAATTTAGAGACCTTTATTTGAACCATAATGAAGGTCTCTAAAAAATTAATGTCCCCTTTATTTGTGCCCCTATCTACTACAAAGATCAAATCTGGGAGAGGGCAACCAACCATATCTTTCTTTTTATTAAGAAATGACTTATAATTAGTTGCACCCTTTACATAGGCCAGTTGGCAAATTAGAGGGGCACTGGTTTCTAGTAACACATTTAACCATTGATAAATGGATTAAATTAGGGTTATTAAAAATACTGGCATTTTAGGTGTAAATTTGACAAGTTTATAATGTTTGCATTTTCAAATAGTTAGGTCTAATGATCTTTTATGCTGTTAATCTTAGATCAAAACAAAGTGTTAGAAAAATTTACTACCATCTCAAAATTTTCTGTTGACCAGCCATCTATTTTATAACTTAATAGGCTACCATAGATGTAACTATGCGTTACATTGTTTACTGCCTAGGGTAATAAAACCTGGATTTTCTTTACAGTATTCATGAGTTCAATATGTTTGACCTTCATAAAGGCAATTCTATCTGTAAACTCCTAATAAGAGCTCTAAAACTCAATTTAATGATTTTGAGGCTGACTGGTAGTAAGGTCTTTAAAACCCTGCGGTAGCTTTTAAAGAGGCTGATTCCTTTAACAGCTGTAAAATATCAATATATCATACTATACATAATGAATTGATATTTTAATTACAATATTGCACATGGATGATATCCCTTTAGGAGTCCTTTGTTACAAATTTGGTTTAATTATCTGACAGGATGGTTTAGTCACCTGTATGCAATCATGGTTTAACAGAAACAAAAATGTTATAGTATAGGAGTAAATTACACATTTAAAACTCTTATTTCAATATTCTTAGCTTTTTACTTATTTAGAGTAATATATTAAATCAATTCAATAGTAACTAATTTTTAAAAAAGAAAAAAAATTATGTCAAAGAATTTTTTTTTTTTTTTTAAACTATATTAAAGAATCAATTAATGACACAACCAAAACAAAATTTTGTATAAAAAAATTGTGAGAATTATTTAGCAAATACTAAGATCAAAATATGCTAACTCACTATAGTGGAGTCATCAATATGGGCACCATGAGCAAGAATATGTTGAGCACTTTGCACATGATTGCCTTGAGATGCCATATGTAGTGCTGTCAATCCATTCTACAGAGAAAAAAAACCATTTAACAATTTTTAGAGAGAAATAGATTAACAAGAAAAATTTATATTCTGAAGTAATGTTTTAAAAACTCCAGGTATAAGATTTTTGGTGTAGCTGTTTTTACAAAAAATTTAGAAATAGAACTCCAAAAAAACAGAAGCAAAAAAACAAAGAACCAACTCAGAAACTGGTGGGAAAAGTTCTTGAATAATGAAGCTCACAGAAATGTTTATTACAAGCCAAAATAAACAAAAATGTTTACTTTAGTTTTAGCAGTAATTGTAACTCCATGAACGAGTAGTAATTCAACACAATGAGAATGACCTTCTCGTGCAGCACAGTGAAGTGGACTTAAGCCATCCTAAATCAATAAAATTATATATTTGTTTGTGTAAAAACTACATACAAAATAAACAATCTACATTTTTTAAGTTTATTGTATTCATCAAACTAAAAAATAAAACAAGATTTAGTTTCAAGTTGTTATAAAAAATTACCTTTGTTACTACAGAAAGTTTTGCTCCTCCCTCAATAAGGGCTGCTAAAACCCCAACTTCACCATGTTTAGATGCAACATGTATTGGACAAATATTGTACTAAATGCAGACAATTTACTATAAAACTAAAAAAAAAAGCAACAAAATAAAATATCTTATATCTTTTGCTTACCTTTGCTTGAGCATTTAAATCAGCACCATTATCTATTAAACATTTAGTAGCAGCAACACAACCATGTTTTGCTGCAATATGCAATGGAGCATACCCATTCTAAAAATTTTAATTCTTAAAATATTTACATAAATAAAAAATTAAATTATAAAAAAAGTATACTAAAAAATATTAAATAAACTAGTATCTAATATTAGTATTTTATTTAATGGTTAAAGAGTTGATGTTTTTCGAAATAAACAAGTCTCTAATTAACTTTTTTCCAGCAGTAATATTTAGGAGTTACATGGAGCAAGTACTGACATTCTATTTTCAAGACGTGCATACACTGTATTACCTTCTGATTAAAACAAATAGTGAAGATGCAACACAAATGCATCTTTATGTTGTTTCTGCTCTCTCAACTATTTTTAATATTTTTTACACAATTGTTATTTGTTGTGTCAGTTCAAGGACAAATTTCTTGTCATTTATCATGTGATTTCAAGAAAAACAAATAAAAAAGTTAAAACTTATCAAGATTACATTGGCTTTTTCATTAATATTGCATTTATGATCAATCAGTAGTTTGATCATTCGTATATCATCTTTACGAGTTGCTACATGAATTGCTCGAAAACCATTCTGAAAAAAAAAAATTTTTCATTAAAAGTTTAGTTAATTTTTTTCTCATACTCATAAAAGTTTTTTTTTTTTTTTACAATGACTATAGTAAATATATCAACAACAACAAAAAAACAACTAAAAAGACTTACAACTAACTTATATAAAGACTTACAATAATATATATTTAAACTACAGCTTATACTTTGTAACTACCATAAGTTAAAACTATAGGTTATATTTTATAACAACTATAAATTTAAACTTTAGTTTATACTTTATTACTACTATAAATTTAAACTATAGTGTATACCTTAAAACTATCAAATATTATGAAGTAATTTGAATATCATAAAATAGTCAGAACTTAAACAAGTTTTCATACTTTATTTTTCAAAAAATGAAATATAAGAGATTTAACCAAAAAAAAAGTAACATACTTTTGCTTCAAATTCTAATAACGTAATTAAAATAGATGTGTGACCTTGCTGAACGGCAATATCAACTGGTTCAAAGCCTCCCTAAAATTAGATGACAGAATACAAACTCTACAAGATATAGTAATATTAACAACAAAACGAGATTCACACAGAATATATAGTAAAAATATTATATATACAATAAGAAATGAAATATACATTAAAATAAAATCTTTATTATTTGTTGTTGTTTAACAACAAAATTAGTTTTAATATTAAAAAGATAGTTCAAAAAAAGGATAAAAGATATTACAAAGTATAAACAAATTGAGAGCAAAAATAATGTTATCAAACCTTAGCTGGAATATGTGGGTCTGCTCCATTTTTTAAAAGAGCAGACACAATATCACAGTGATTTTCTTGAGCAGCCATATATAAAGGGGTTATATCATCCTTAAAAATAAATTAAATTTGTTCAAATACAAAATTAAGAAAAAAAAAAATTTATTAGTCATTTTAAAAACAATTTTTACATCTTTACAATAGCTAATTAACAAATGTTTGTTAAAAAGTTGTATAAAGATATACTAAAAATGTTTTACATATGTAATAAAAATATACAATAAAATAGTTCTATATAAATAAATAACAAGAGCTTATCAAAAAGTTCATCAAAAATTAAAAAACATAATCCAAAAGTAATATAAAAAAACTCAATTATGTCATTGTTGAAAGTTGTTTTGAAATAAATTCATACCAATATATTTTTGCATCACTGTATTGGTATGAGGCATTTCAGATGCATAATTTATGTGGATTTTTTTTTTAATATTAGCAGAAAAATATTATACTTGAAATCAACAACAACATATTTAACTTGAGTCAATAATACATTCTATTTATTATTAATGCATGCTCAAAAGTTTAACATATATATATATATATATATATATATATATATATATATATATATATATATATATATATATATATATATATATATATATATATATATATATATATATATATATACATATATATATATATATATATATATATATATATATATATATATATATATATATATATATATATATATATATATATATATATATATATATATATATATATATATATATATATATATATATATATATTCATACTTTTAAAATAAAACAAAAATATATCTAACCTTAGCCTGAGGATTAATTTTTACACCTCCTTTTATTAAAATTTTCACAATATCTAAATGACCACCCAATGAAGCAATATGTAAAGCAGTGTTTAACCTCTGGAATAAAAAAGAATTTATAACTAAGTTTCTTAATAAACAAAAAAAAAAAGAAGAATATCTATAGTATTATTTTGAATTATATTTATTATAAACAAATAAGAAACAACATTATTATAATAAAATAACCTAAATAATTAAATAAATAAAATAATTATGAATAAAATTATATTCAACTAATGATTAAACCACTAGTTTTGATTTTTTAAACAACTTTTAAAAATTAAAACTTTTAAATAAACACTATTTGCGTTATAAGTTATTAAATATTAAAAAATTGAGTTGAAAACTTGAAAAATAATAAGTGCATAACTCTAAAATGTTTGAAAAATCATTTGAAATGTTGAAAAATAATAAGTGCCAAACTCTAAATTTCAGAACTTTTTTGAATTGAAGAATTTTTACTTTTTTACTGTAAAATAACTTCTTTAAGCAGCTTTTTTTTATTACTTATTGAATATGAGTTATTATTGGATATAGTTATCAAATAATGGTTGAATGCAGTTAAAAAAATTAAAATTTCAAGCAATTTTTTACAAAACCTTTGTAACAGCTTCAACATTGATTCCATGATTGATAGCAAACTCGGCAATGTTTGGATGATTCTCTCGTGCAGCAAAATGTAAAATATTTAAACCAGCCTAATAAATATTATAAAATCTATCAAACAAATGAAAAATTGAAATGACTAAAAAATTTACCAATAATTTTTTTTATGACGAGGAGGTCATTTTTATTTTGAACTACAAAATAAAAACTACTTCCTCCCCCTTCCTAAAAAAAAAATTCTCTAAGGAAAACTACTAAATAAAAAAATTGATAAAATGAAATTTATAAATAATTTTATAAAAGAGTTCAATGATGCCTGAAACTGGGTAAATATGTCAAATTTGTTTAGATTCAATGTTATTTGAAACACTTTGGTGCTTAAGTTACACTAACCACACAGTTTAACTTAACAGTATCATTTATTGATTGAAAAAAATAATATGAACAAAGATTAAATTCTTAGCAAATAATGTTATTGTCATACTGTCTTTGAATTTTAGTGAATTAATTATAAAAGTTTTAAATCACTCTCGCATCAAAAAACATTGTAAAAAGTAAAACTTTTTTTTTTGAAATCACCTCTGTAGATACAAACATTTGCTGATTTTTATAAATAATCACCACATGCTAGGACAACAAAGATAAGTTTTCTGCTAGTCAAATGTGGCTTCATTTATCAAGAAATGGAAAAAAAATAATGGTTTGAAGACTTAAATTTAGTAATCTTTTATTCTAGGTAACCAATAGTAACCAATAGGGAAGGCCATACTTTTATATAAATTTTTAAAAGACAACATTTTGTAATATATGCATTAAATATTGTTTAAATCTTTATCAGAAACATTTGATGAACACTGTGTGATGTTTTTGAGCCTAATTCAATGTTTCATCTGGAAAAAAAAAACAAAGCTTCCATTAAACCAGAAAAAGGTTTTTATTTTATTTTGCAGAGCTCAAATTAGGTATATAAACATCTAGATTTGCAATTGCATTTATCATGTTGGCAAAAAAAATTTTTTATTTCAGCAATTTGATTTTTTTTTTCATAATAGAGTATTTTTGCATGCACCACTATTATTTCAGTGAATCATTAAAAAGGATAATTTAATTTAATTCTTTTCATATAAATTTAAAATATACAGAAGTTGTTATTTACTCGCAAGTGTCAGCAATAAAATTCAAAGAGCAACACAATCTTTTAAAATCGGTTACTGTTAATAGATATACAATAACTAAAATTTACAAGAAATTTAAAAACATTTTAAAATTCTCATAAATTTTAATAATGTATGAAAATATATATTATACAGTTAGAAATTTCCAAGATTGAAGCTTAAGCTCAAAATGTATTCTAATAATAAATGCAAAAGAAATGATTTATAATTACTAATAATAAGTGAAAAAGAAAATGATTTATAATTGCTGATAATAAATGCAAAAGAAAATGTCTCTCACTTTTATCATACTTATAACACGCCATAACATTTTATTCAGAAAGCTTTTTAACAGGCCTGTAATTAGTCTGCATCTTGTTTTTTATAACTCTATTAAATTTCCAGGCTTGGTCGGAAGGCGGAGCCATCGCTCTCGATTACTGACCACTGAAATAATATTTAGTTGAGAAAAACTGGCCAGATTTTTTAATCATTTTGAGAACATGCCAAAAAACAAAAAAAAAGCGCCAAAAAGATTAAATTGGACCGATTAGGGACTAGGAATTACAAAAAAATATAAACTAGGAAAAGAAAATAACTTTTAACACAAAAAAACCTAAATCAAAATAAATTATATTTAGAACAAATATTTTCGAAAAATCGCTCTTTTATAATTTTTAAGTAACATCTAACAATTGCTTAATACAGAAACAAATGTTCTTTTATATATCAGGAGTATAATATAATTTTTATTTATATACTCGTATCTTATTTCCAGTGCTTGATTAAGAAGGGTTAGGGTTAGAGGGGGCTATAACCACAGCCCCGCAATGTTAGGGGCCCTGCATTAGTCAAAAAGAGCTTTTTTATTAGTCATTTTTATGTTGTGGTACATAAAAAAGGCCTCCAAAATAAAAATAGCCCCCGGCCCTCAAGAGTCCAACAAGATTCTAATAAAACCAACACCAGGCTTGGTCGGGAAGCAGGAGCAATTGCTCTCGAATACTGACCATGGAAACTATATTTAGAAAAACTGGCCAGGTTTTTTAGTTGTTTTGAGAACATTTAAGTTTATGTATGTAACAAAAAAATTTTGTTTCACGGACATACATGGAAACATAATAAACTTGAATGTTCTCAAAATATCTTGGTGCGGAAGAATAAAAAGAATATTTGCGAACACTAAAAACTCGCCAAATTAACAAACTAAATCTTGTTAGACTTTTTGGGGCCGGGGGCTATTTTTCTTTTGGATGCCTTTGTATGTGTCACAGCGTAAAAAAGACTGAACAAAAAAGTCTTCTTGACTTTTTTGGGGCCCTAACATTGCGAGGCCCGGGGCTATAGCCCCCTCTAAACCTAAACCTCCTTAATTTAGCACTGAAAATAAGACGAGTATATAAATAAAAATTGTATTACACTCTTTGTTAAATAAAAAAACATTTGTTTCCTTTTAAACAATAATAAAATGTTACATTATATAAAAAACGTTGCTTAATTTTATTAAAAAATTATAAAGAGCAATGTTTCGAAAATATTTGTTCTAAGCGTAATTTATTTTGCTTAAAGTTTTTCGCGTTAAAAAATATTTTATTTTCCTAATTTATTTTTTTTGTAATTGTCTCTCATCAGCCCAATTAATCTTTTGTGCATTTTTTTTTTTTGCTTTTTGAAATGTTCTCAAAACCACTTAAGTCTGGCCAGCTTTTTGCAACTAAATAGTATTTCCATGGTCAGCAATCGAGAGCGATCGCTCCCGCTTCCTGACCAAGCCTGTAACACTAGTTTTAGTTTTAAGCTAAATTATTTTAAAATAAAAAAGTTAATTTTTTTAATAACTATTTTATGCTTTATGTAGTTTGAAAAGTTTAACATATTTGGAACAATTCTTCTTAGTAAGATGAACAAATGAAACAATTAAATCATTGGGCTACTGAAGAAATTAAACTAACTAGATAGAAATCAACTAAAAAGGTTAAAAATACTTTATGAAGAGGAAGCTAAACTGCTTCACAATACTGCTGATGATGTTTAGTGAGTGGGCTTTTTAATTTTAATTAGTATTTAAAACAGAAAAAAGTATAAAGTATATAAGTAGAAAAAGGGTCAGAATTTACACTGAAAGTTTCAATATTTATCAGTTACTATTTTTTTACAGTTAAATATTTGCTCAATAGCATTAAAAATTTTATTTTGAAAACTTTGTTTTTTAATTCTTTAGGCTGATTTTCACTAGAAGTTTTTTTTAGTTATGAGAAATAATTTTTTTGTTAATAATAAGTAAAAATTATTATACAGAGAGGGGTGGGGCTTAATGAGCTTAGCATGGATGGGAAAATTTTCTAAAAATTAATTAATAAACATCAACCCCACCCACTTCTATTAAGTACTCGAGAGTGCATATATACATATATATATATATATATATATATATATATATATATATATATATATATATATATATATATATATATATATATATATATATATATATATATATATATATATATATGTTTATATATGTTTCCAAAAAAAAAAATTTTGTTTTACAGATATATAAACTTAAATGTTCTCACGACTTAAAAATCTGGCCTGTTTTTTGCAACTAAATATTATTTCCATGGTCAGTAATCGAAAGCGATCGCTCCCACTTCCCAACCAAGCCTGAATGTCAAGACATAATATTGTCTAAATCACAATATTATGTCATGATATTTAATGGAGCTATAAAAAAACAAGATACAGACTGATAACCCTTACAAGTGGTCAATTTAAGGGAACAGTTTTATGTAAAAATGAACTTCATTTGCAATTGGACTTTTGTCTTCATATGTGTGTATATTTTCTGTAGAGAATGGCTTGATTGTTTCATTTACATTTCTTTTTCTAACAATGTAGAGATGAATCATCATGGGTACTACTAGACACCAGTGAGTTTTGTAACTTTTTTGAAGAGTAGAATACTTTTACACATTACTATAGTTAAAATGATTTGATGTAACAGCCAATAAATAATGCGTAATGTGACACAACCACAACATAATGTCACAAATGAAACAAAAATGGCAACAGTGTAGTGGACATATGCACTTCAATGAGCAGATCTGAACCCTTAAAAAAACTGCGTCATTGAATTTTGGGCAACCGAATATTTGGTGCTTCAGCTGAGCGCCTAGCCAAATATTCGGTATTTGGTATTCAGCAAAATAACTATTTGTGGCATCTCTACTTTCTAGGTGAATAATAGGTAAGCATTTTATTAAATATTGTAATAGTGTAATACATTTAACATCATAACAAGGACACCAAAGTAATACAAGTAACTAATGACAAAAAATTTGATGACAGTGTTTAAAATCAAAGTGAAATTACTTAACATAGTGCTGATCAAAATATTTTTACAAAAAGAAAATAACTTACAGGACTTGTAACATGTATATTAGCACCATCTTGAATACATCCAGTCACCTTTAACAAATCTCCACATTTTGCAGCTTTAAGTAAATCTTCATCCATCTAAAAAAAAAAAATTGTAATATATTATTTGGTTATTGTAAAAATTGTAATATTTTATTATCTCTCCTAAAAATAAGGCAAAATTATTTGCAAATAATTCTGCCTTATTTTTAGGAGAGATAATAAAATCAGACCAATGTATGAGAGATAAAATGTTAGACTTGCTTTTGTTAATGACATTATTAAAAATTTTATGAAATTCTTTAAAACTTAGCGCTTGTGATAAAATGCAAGATTTAGTTTTTTAGGAAAAATGGACCTTCGCATCAGACAATGCCTTTTTGCATTAATTTCTCGCAATAATAAAAAAATGTTTGTTTTCCAGAAAGTCGGTTTTTTGTTGTTGCGTGGAATGGATAAAGAAATGATTACAATTAGAAAATAGTAGCTACACAAGAAGGAGAAAACCATGGAAACTATGGTGCAGATTGAAACTAGATTTAAAACTAACAAGAAGGAATAAAATCTTTTATGCCTCCATAAAGTTTTTTTCTAAAAATAATATTCTGAATTTAGATATATTTAGAAATGAGTACCTAACTCTTATATCTAACTATTAATTAACTACATTCTATTTCCAGTATTCTTAAATAAATTGATATTTAAAATTAAAAACAACATTTTCTAATACCATATTTATTTATTCTTTACAAAGATTAAAAAAAAAAATTGTTTGCAAACAGTTTTTATAATACTATTCCTATAAGTTAAGTTACTAACTTTGAACTTGCACTTGTGTTGTAGCATATTAAATCATTAAATTACATTGATGTATAGCAAAACAAATTGCAAGAGTTACATAATCAAGAAGCCACAGACACAAAGACAGAGAGAGAATAAAAATCCATAAACATAATAATAAATATTTCATATATAATATTTATAAGACTTTACAAATCTATATAATAGCACATAATCAATCTATTCAATAACATTTTCTTTTGGTATAAGATATTTTTTAAATCATGAATTATTTAAAATGAATTTTTTGAAAATTGTATTTATTTTTTAATGTTATCTTTTAATAATTCATCAAACTTTTTTGTTTACTTTATAAACTTTATTTTAAACTTATTATAGTAGTTGCTATGCAAACTTAGTAAGCAGTTATACATTATATTTGTAAACAAATGCACTAAACAAAATAAAGCACTAAACATACACACAAAATCCTACTATGTAGTGGCATTTTGAAAACTTTATTTTATAAATAATATATAAGTATAGTAATATAATTTTACTTTGATATTTATAATGCTATTGAGCAAATATTATTTAATTGGTGGGAAAAAATTGATTTTTAAAATTAAATCATATTTTACAAACCTCCTATATTGAGACATCTATGTTGAGATAAAATTTAAGTAATAATTCATACTGATTACAAGTATAAAAAAACACATTTTATAAAAATGAAAAAATTAATTCATGCTTTAATTGTACGCTATCTATAAACAATACATATGATATATTTCACATAATAGCTTCCTTCTACCTAAAAGTCTCCTGGGATGTTCTTTAGTGTTTTTTGATATTTTTGCATGTATATTATAAAACATTTTAAAACACAACTCATATTTTTATAAGCTAAAACCATAATTTAATTTATTAATTATTTTGCTTTGCTACATTACTTTTTATCCGAAAACTTTGCTTACTACATTTTCAAAGATTTGCTTACTAGATTTTCAGAGCCTAATTACAATACTAATTAATAAAACTTTTGTTATTTTTTTAAATTAAATTACTCTACTAACCTTATTTATATATTATTATACTCAACTGATCACTATTTTTTATTTTATATTCAACTGCCCTACCCATTTTTACAAACAAAACCAGCTTTTTAGTGGAGCTGAAAGGCTGAGGGTGTTCAAGGTTAAGGTTTAGGTTAAGGGTGTTCAAGGATTAATTTATGAACATCCAAGAGGATTTCAACTTTTATTTAACAAATTCTTTTTCATTTTGACTTCAATCAAGTATATTGTTATTATTACTATGTTATTATTATTACTATTATTATTATTATTCTCATTACTATTATTACATACTATTGTATAATTTGAACTTATTTTTATTAAACAACATGAAAATACAAGTAAACACTCAGTCCATAGACAAGAACTGCTAACTGCAGAAAAACAACCAGTCTTCAAAATTCATAAATCACTCTTTAGCACAAATCAGTTCTAAATACATAGACACTCTTTAATGCTAAAAGGGAACCTCATATATGAGCATTTATTAAAACAACTAGTCAGACTTTATACCTAAATAATCTGATTATCAGTTTTCATAACATGACCTAGATATTTAAAACTAGATAACTAGGTACCAAGTACCAAGGTATCTAAAACTAACTAAATTTATTTTTTTACTGAATTTATTTCACCAAGCCAAGGGGCTTTTACATTCAATGTAGCTTTTGTTTAATTGCATTTACTATCTTCATTCGACCCTTTAGCATCAAAACACAAACTTGACTAACCAGAGAGAAAATGTTTTAACTTAATAAGTTAAGAAACTTCCTTTATAAAATAGCTTGTCAAAAATGTAAGTGTCCAAAATGTAAAGACAAGGGGTGTAAACTCTCAAAAAATGTCTTTAGTTTTAAAAGTCACAAAGTCATTATTTCTATTTATATCTTTGGTGTCAAGGAGCTTGAAAAATATTGAGATATATGGATAAGTTTGAAGAAAAAAAATCAATTAGAGTACAGAAACTATAAATTTTGAACTCAAAATAACTTTAATGTAAAATAGTAACCAGGGACTCCAAACTAAAAATAATAGGCAAAACTTGTCTGCAAAAGCATGTGTATTATTGTGTAAGTATATCACAATCTTTTCAATCATCATTTTTAGAACTCCTAGACATCAGAAACTAGTAATTAATAATGATTCAATTAAAGGTGATTCAACCATACACAAAAAAATGTTGAAATAAGTTTTTGTATTTGGAAAAAAATTGAATATCAAAAGATAAATAAAAAGGAAAACTTTAGCAGTTAATAAAACTCACCAATTAATGATTAATTTGATAATTTAATTAGAATTCCCTAAAAATGCCAGTAATAAGAAGATTAAAGCATCAAGTAATATATGCACTTGAAACATTATAATGAATGTTTAAATATGCAAAAGTGCCTAATATTGCCAAAACAGTTTGATAATTGAAATTTTATAAAAAGCAGATTAAATTATAAAGAGAAATTGGTTAAGCAACAATAATTAATGTAAAAGTTAAACTAATGCCAAGCAGTAGTATATATAATCTTTCTTCATCAAAAAACAAAGTAGCATCTTTAATTGCATCTGAAATACATTGAATTTACATCTTTAATAAATTCTAAGAATGAAATATTGACAGTTAAGTTGTTGACAGCTCGGTGTAGTTGTGTAGTAGTGTAGTGTAAGACAATTTTAAAATATTATAGCGTCTGTATGTTATTTTGTTGACTACGACATATTTCTGTTAAATGATCAAGTCTATGAATTATGAAAAGACGAAAAAAATTTAAATGATAAATTTTGCGGTCTCATAAAATATAAATGTTTATAGCGAAAAAACCCAGACCAAAGATTCTTTTTTTAAAGAAAAAACTAGTATTAAAACAGTTTTAGTATTTGACGTCACGGTAGACTTTTAACAAAAGAAAAGTGTAATTAAACTAAGCTGCGTTTTTCTACTGTAGTATTTTTTTAACATACAGCAAAACAAATTTATTTGTATTATTTTTCCAAACATCGCAAAAAAAATTTTGTAAAAAGTAAAAACAATAAATTATTTTTATTTTATAGGAGCAACTTATTTTTTACAGATATTCTAATAATTTTTAGATTTATATATCTTACTTATATTTCTTTAATTATTTTAATTAAAACAAATATTAAAGCTTTACTTACCAATCTCATGATTTTCATACGAGTATTTTACTTTATTTAGAACGTTTTATATACGGTCTCTTGTTTTTGCGCAAGAGAGCGCAGTATTATATTTTCTGATTCTTAATTATTTTTATTTAAACAAAGGGAACTATTTTCTAACTTCTCTGGTTATTTTTACGCTATGACAATTTTTTGTTTTCCCGTCGAAAAAAAGTATTTATTAACAATTACTTTCATAAACTGACAGCATTAATTAGAGATATTTAATGAATTGTTAACTTTTTTTATTATAAAATTTTTTTGATCACGCTGATTTAATTTAAATTGCTAAATTTGCTGAATTGGATACGGATAAAAAGGAAATACCATTTTATTTTACATTTGATTTTTGATAATGAAATTTTTAAAGTGTCAACAACTCTATACCAATTAGAACCTGTTAAGATTATGAAAAAAAAGTGCAAGAATACACTAAACAATACAGTTGACAGTAGTATCAGATATGAAAATTCGTGAAAGGATTTGTGAGATCCTGATTTTGCATTAAAAGCACAATTAATTGCAACACAAGTCGGCATTAGAAATTTTGATTATAAGTTTACTGTTCAATATTTTATAACCATCAAATAAAAAACATAAAGTTTGTATAATTTCGCCCGTTTTATACAACTAATATTTAACAAAAATACGGACAAATTATTATTAAATAACGCAATAATTAACACATTAATTAAAGGCAATAATTCAAGATAGATGGTAATTTAAATTGTTAAAATGTCATAACGCGAATTAAAAAACATATTATATTTGGTATTTCCAAATTTGTGTCGTAATAGGCATTTGTCTCTTAATATGAAAAATTAAAAATTTTTAAAAACACAATTAACGAATAGAAATTTTCAAGCAATTTTCTCTTCCAATTCTCACTTCAAAGAAAATTTACTATTAAACTTTTATTTCTCTCATCTAAAAAAAGAATGAGTGAAGCAAAAAAATATATATATTCTATACAACTCTTACTCATTCAAAGTTTAATTGCGCGAAACTTTTCTTTCTCTTTTGTTCTACTCTTTTATAAAAAGAGCGCCCGATGAAATAAAAACTTTTCTTTTTTAACATATAATTATAGTTTGAGATAAAATTAAATTAGAAATAAATCAACAATGAGCAAAGCAACGAACAAATTAATCTGGAACTATTTTGATATTTATGAAAATAATCAACATAAACAACATTGCCAACAACAATTATCAAATAAACAACACAATCTCGCATAATTTTAGGGGCATTTTATTTTTATTGCTTAGTCGTTCTAAATAATAAGTAAATTTAGTTCAAGTTAATAATTCAATATTTACAGTTGCAATAGAATAAAGAAATGGTGTTTAATACTGAACTTTTTATTTAGTTATTTATTTTTTTACCTACATTTGTTATAAAAAACTTTAGAACCCCCGTCATTAAAATAATTTGTTTTAAATATATATTGATTTACGTGATTATTCAAACTAATTTTTTTCGTTTGACTTTCCGAACTTCATGCAAAGCAAATTGAAACGAAATATCGTCTAACCAAATAAAAAAGCTGTTACTAATTTTATACGGGTAATTAATTTAAAACAATTTTTGAGATAATAAATATTCATAATTTATAAACATTAAATATATGGCGCAATAACAATTTATAGCAACGAACCAGCATAAAATATTTAAGGTTTTTAATATCTTTTTAAATATTAAAAGTAGAAAAAAAAACAAAAAAAAAAACTAAACAAATAATCAAAAAAACTTCGACTAAAAATAAATAAAAATATTTCTAGAGTTTAATTTATTAAAAGTCTACCGTGACGTCAAATACTAAAACTTTTATGAATTAAACGCGCTTCAAAGGAATTGCCAAAGTCTGTAGATTGCAACGCATAATTTGAAGACTCCAATTAGTTGAAAAAAATGGAGATGAGCTTCGGCAAAAACAACAACATTTGTTTTTTACGGTATGCATTCATTATTTATTTTTAATCAAAAAAGTTTGGTTCAAACCTTTTTTTTTAACATTATCTTTAATATGAACACAACATGTGTTGGGAGTTTGGGATCCCTTAAACGCCGATGAGCAGAATTAAATAAAGACTCCAAAATGGTGTTCTTTAGATTCACTATTACGGGTGGTAAAAAGGTTCTGAAAATTATATTAAAAAAAAGTTTCTTTAAATATTAAAAAAATTTGATGCAAAAAAAAATATACCATTGAAAATTCTTATTTGAACATAATACACTGATAAAACCATGCTAATTCCAAATAAAAGAATTCAAAAATCTGAGTTTCCAACTAAAGTAAGAAAATAAAACACAAAAACTGCACTTTAATTAGTTAAAGACTCAAGTTTCTATAAATCAGCAAGAGTTTGCAAATAACTAAATATGTCTGAGAAATCAAAAAAAAATGATTTTCAAATCCTATTCTTACGTGAAAGATTATCGATAAGGCAGAACCATTTAAACCTGGAGGAAAGTTGTGTAATTTTTTTTTTTAATTAACTGTGGCCGTATTCTCATCTCTCCGTTAAGCTTGACGAAGCATTTGTCAAAAAGTTCTCTTTAACTACATTAATTTAAAAAATTCTTTAAAATATAAATTTTTAAATAAAATTGTTTTATTTTAGTATTAGTTTTAATTAAAAAAATTTGAATAAAGTTTTTGCCATTTCTTTACATAAAGATGTTGTAGTAAAATTTTTGACAAACGCGCTGTTAAGCTTAACGGAGAGATGAGAATATGGCTGCTGAAAAATACCAAATCATAAAAACTACTAAATAAATGAAACTAGTGTCAAAATGTTGCCAAAAAAACAAATTTTTTATCTGCAACTTTAACGTTAACGTCTAAGCTAACACTGTATTGTATTTTTGTATATAGTTTTTTACCATTACAATTATTTGAATTGTTTGATGATCGCATAAAGTGTGAAACTCCAAGTTATGTTTCAAATTTAATTGTAGCTATTTTATTATTCTTATTCTTTTATATATATATATATATATATATATATATATATATATATATATATATATATATATATATATATATATATATATATATATATATATATATATATATATATATATATATATTATATATATATATATATATATATATATATATATATATATATATATATATATATATATATATATATATATATTCTGCTTATTACCTTCAAAACATTGCATCAAAAAAGGGCATAAACACAATTTTAGAAAACATTTTAATATAGACAAATCAAACACAAAAAATTAATATTTATAAAAGACCAAGGTAATTTATGTAGGAGAGCCCTTAAGTGTCACAAATAACTGAATTTTATGATTTATAATTTTAATGACTCTATATAAAAAAGAGGATGTTGGTCACCTTAACATTTGTTGTAAACTCATCACATAAGCCATCTACACCTAAACACATATTGCAAGATCATGGCTCTATGAAGTTTGGATGTTACAATCCTAATCTATATACAAAGGAGACTTTCAACAACAAAAAATACTTTGAAATTATTATTTTTTTTTTTAAGTCTTTTTCTAAAACAAGTGTCAAAATTGAGGTGGTCATTTTAAAAATGAAAGCAACAAAATATAATAGAACTATGATGTTGACTTGAATACGCAAAAAAAAACATATTTAAAATATGTAAAATAATATAAAAATATAATGTGTATATGTGTATAAAATATCATTTTATACACATATACACATTATATTTTTATATACACATTACTAGCAATTATTTTTATAATTCTTTAAAAATATAATGATATTGATTTCCAATTTTAGCGTTACTCAAGTTCACAACGCTTCTTTTTCACTACAGTTTTTTTTTTTTTTTCAAGATCGTGCATAGTTTAAAATAACCAATGTGATTTCCCTTGTTAAGCATATTTGTATAACTAAAAACAAAATGATTTTCAAACCTGATTTTTATAAAAATCCATACTGCTTTCAGTTGATGATCTCTCAACTTCATGAATATGTAAATGCTCGAGTAGTCCACTCTTCATTTCACAAGTAAATTTTTTGTTATTTAATAAATCGCGAACAAACAGAAACCTGTCAAATGAAATTGATAACGCAAACAAATAGTATAGAGTTAAAAATTACTTAAATCACGTCAAATATGTCGTAAGTAATTGTAATTAGTGCTTTGTTTACACTAAACTTTAAGTTAAGTTGTCTCGTGTTCTGCTAGATTGATTTCTCTTTTTTATATAACAGTATTAAATGGTCTCAGTTTTTATAAAAAATAGTTTTAGTTGCATTAATTTTATTTTTGTTTAACAATATAAGTTCCACATATAATTAAAAAAACTAAATATTTTGAGCAAAAAAAAACTATTTAAAATATAATTTGAGTACAAATTAATAACGCCTGACATTTTTTCAAATAAAACACGTCAAATAAAACTAAATCTATTGTAATCCTAAAATCTTGTCTGAAAATCTTTTGTTTAAATTTTGTTTGCGACAATAAAAAACCATAGCTATTTATTATTTAATCCCTCTAAATTATTAATTATTTATTTATAGTATTGACATTAACAGTTTCCATGATATTTTTTTAAGGTTGGGGACACTAGATTTTTCGATGGTTGTGGTCAGTACCGTGGCTAGTGAGTAAGAGCGCTCCTATCCCCCCCCTCCCCTCTTTAATTTAAAAAAAATTGCCCGAAAATCTTATTTATTCCATTAGGTATTACAAAATTTAAAAAAAACGTTGGAGAGCCTAGCCACGATTCGTGATCCTTAAAGTGGTCAACGTAACGTTCTAAAAAATTACAAATGAAGTCCTAGCAACAGAATCCTAGCAACAGAAATGGTGAAACATTGTAAACCTTCTCAACTACAAAGATACTTTTTGTATCTTTGAAAATTAAAAACTTTAAAAAAAAAATTTTCATTTACATTTTTAAAGACTTAATGGACTTTTTTGATTTGACACCCTATATAAATAAAATTTTCCTACGCGACTTTAATTAAAGAGACAAAAATTAAATAAATAATCAAATTTAAATAATATAAAAATTACAATCCAATTAGAAAATCTTTTATCTACATATTTACTTCTGAACCTTTTTCGATGCATTATCAAAGACTCACAGAACAAATTAAGTGTTTCTTTGATCTTATGATAGAGGAAACATTCTATAATTAGGTAAGGTAACAAAAAATTTTAAAAATTAAAGTGTCTTCAAATTACTTTGATTTGTTGAGTGTTTAGAATTATTTTTACATTGCCTATGTAAATACACGGCCTTTTAATTCGCTTAAATAAAAAGTAAAAAATTAAGTCCAGAAATATCATTTCAATACAAGGGTTTTATATGTTTTGGCGTTGTTTTTGCAGAATAAATTTTCGTGCGGTAGCAATCTTACGCGCCGCAGTTATATTTAGGGTGGAATGCAAGAAGCAAACTTGAGTCAAGTTCGACTTGAACTTTACTTTGTAACCAATAGCGGCAGAGTATTTTTTAAAGGAAAAAACCCATACTCTGTCGCTATTGGTTGCAATGTAAAGTTCAAGTCGAGCTTGACTCAAGTTCGCTTCTTGCATTCCACCCTTTGTGTTTAAGATTACCAACTTACGCTTGTGGAACAAACTTCAAACTTGATTTTTCTATTCTTATATGAGAATGCTTTTCAAAAAACCGCAGTGATTGGAGTCTGAAAATAACAAAAACTCCAAAACTTGTCCTTTTTTCACTTAAAATCCAATTGGTGAGGGCAGTAAGTTAGCGAGTGGTATAAAATTACTACTCTTAAATAAATTTATATTCGTCTACTTATTCATGCACTCAAGTTTAAATATTAAAAATTATTTAAAAAAATATAAACCATGTGTCACCATGTAAATTTTTCCAAACTATAAGAAGACGAATTATATTCTACTCTGTTAAAAAGCACAAAAACAAAACATTCCTCTAAAGCGGGAAAACCTCTCAAAAAATAATTTTTTTTTTTCAAATGTTTCAAAAGTAAGTTTATTAAGAAATCAAACGGTGAAAATTTTATTCAAAAATCGCTTTTTTTTATATTAATAAATGACATTTTTGTACTACCACGTAAGTTCAAAATTACCTAGCAACGCCCCTAGTTACAGAAAAACTGTCAATAAAACACATCTAGTGTAGCTTTTTTGCCGGGTTTTTTGGCAGTTTAGTTTGAAATGCTTTTCGCTATCCCTAAAATCATGTTTTAAAACCACATATTTAACACATTATGCTAAAACTAGTTTTAACTAATTTTAGCATAATGTGTTAATATTGTAGCAACTAACTTAAGCTTTAATTAAAGAAAATAAACAAGTCTAATACAAAGTATAATAGGGATAGAGTTAAATTTTCTACAAAACGTCTTCAAAAACGTAAATGTACAATTTCTGGTTTAAGAAAGCAAGCAAAACATGTAAATATTGGTGTAAATAATGTAAATAGTAATGATGTAAATATGGTAGATTCTATAAATATTGAAAGTGAAAGTGTATTTGAAAGTGCATCAAAAAAAAAGTGAAGCAAGTAATGGTACCAAGTGGAAACTCAAAATGTGTCAGTGGCTACAGATTTATTGATTTAGAAATTCTTGCTTCCATTTTTGATAAACTTGGGTGTCCAGAATGTTTGTAACCATCACAGTTGTCATTAAGCAAAAAGAAAAGTCTTGCAAGGGATATGCATTAAATTTATCTTTAAATTGTGTTTGTGGTTTTAAGTTAGACTTTGACACATCAAGAAATGTAGCAGGGTTTGATATTAATAAAAGGTTAGTGTATGCCATGAGAACATTTGGTCGACATTGTTTTACCACTCTTATGAATATCCCAAAAGGTTTATGCAATAAAAGCTATATTGTTATTGTTCAAAAATTGACAACTGCAGCACAAACTGTTGCTATTGAAACAATGAATGAAGCTGCACAAGAACTCAGAGAAGGCAAGTTTCCTAATGAGATTGCAGATACTGGAGTTTCTGTTGATGGAACATGGCAAAAAAGGGGATATAGTTTACACAATAGGGTGACCTCAGCATTATCAATTAAAAATGGAAAGGTTTTAGATGTTGAAGCATAATCTAGAAAATGTTTAAAAAAATTCTGAAATAAAATAGGGGAGAGTGGGGCACCATAACACATGGGGAAGCATGAAACAAAGCAATTATACAATGATATAAAAGTATTGTGACAAATTCTTTTGAGTTATAATCAGTTACTACTAGATGTGTTGTTTAACGTACAATTCAAATAAGAACATGTCAATAATATTGCAAGAGGTTCAAATTTGTGTTTTTTCTGTTGCAAAGTAATTTATAAATTTTTAAATTTGTGACGTTTTACGGTGTTTTGTTCACTGTATTCTTTGTAAAGTGCCTCTATTTTGTAAAACACCAATATTAATCAACATTTAATCGCAAGAAACTGAATCTTTTTGCATTCCAATATATAAATATATTGGAATGCAAAAATTTGCTTAAAAACTCTTAGTTTGACAAGCAACTTGTGAAAGAAGCTTTTTGTTACGTGACTACGGTAACAATCAACACCGAAATATACATCAAAGAATGTTTTAAGAAGCATTTTATTCCGTTTTTAAGATATTATCTCATATGGATAGTGCGTTATTTTAGCTCTATTTAATATCATGTCGCTACTCTGAGACAACTTAAACTGGGTTGGAGAACTTAAAGTAGATTTCGTTAAAAAACACTGCAATCCACCAAATTGTCCTGAATTATATCCTATTGAAAGATAATAGGCTGTTGTCAAAAAAAATTAAAATTCAATGTAAAAGTAGCTAAAAACCATATACAAGGCTTTAAAACTAAATAGATTACAATTACCAAAGAAGTCCATCCGAAGCCGTGCAAAAGCTGATGTAGAAGGTAAAACGCAACATGCGTGCGTTCTCACGCACATAACTTCACTAAAGTGAAATTCAAGAATATTAATAAATGTACTTCAAAATATATATAACACTCGGAATACAATAGTTGAATAATTATTCTTTAAAATATCCGAGCAGATTTCTTCTAGTACATGTCGTGAATAAAAATTTCCCTAAAAATACGGATCTAAGTTAATAGTACTTAAAATAAAAACGCATTTCTTAACTTGTATAATTGTACATGTTTTCATTTTTAAAATATGCAGGCTTATAGGGGCACCTAATTAATATGCTCCGGTTGTCACGAAAACTCTAGACGGCCCTGATCATACATGTGCATTTTTCGGCTAACCCATCGTTGACATTATTTAGAAGTATTGTTTTTGAAAAGTTCTATTTTTAAGATAAGTTATTTTATAACTTTCTTTAAACAAAATTGCTTCAAAATACATTGCAAAATTTTATATTTATTTTATTAAGACGCGAAAATATTTTTATGTAATAACATTTTTATCTAATAATAACAATAATAATAACAATAATAATAGTAATAATAATAATAATAATAATAATAATAATAATAATAATAATAATAATAATAATAATACTTATTAATAATAATAATAGCAACAATAATAATACTATTTAAATATATATTAAGGACACTTTTTTGGAACTCGATCCTAAGTAAAACTTAAAAAAATTTAACCTCAATTGAATCATTTAAAAGAAAATTAAACAACATTTATTAAATTTAGCTTCAATAAACATGCTTTTGTATTTTTAAAAACACGTTTTTTGTATATTTATATCACGTATATTTACTTGCGTTCTCGAACTCTTTATGTTACATTTATTATGTTACACACATATTGTTTTAACACATATATTTTATGAACTAAACATATAAAGTTTTAGTAGAATAAAGAAATAATAAGAAGCATGATGATAATACGCATAAGACGATAAGAAGCATGATAATAAGACGTATAAGAACCATGATGATAAGACGTATAAGACGATAAGAATTGTGATGATAAGACGTATAAAACGTATTAATGTCTTATCACGAAGATAAGACGTTTGTTGTCTTTTACATGCTCTTGTCAGAAGTTAAAGAATACTTTTGTTTTTTCAAGAATATTGTAAATAATTTTTTCGACTGTCAACACTAAATTCCAATTTAAAACCACGACAAAAGAAACTGTTTATTCAATATCATAAGGTTTTACCTCTTTTTTACCTGTGTAACAGATATATGATATACAATTATTTAGCATTAGAATGTTCACAACAAATTTATTTAAAAAATTGCCTTTAAAAACTGCCTCTCATATGTAAGGAATGTGAATGAAAATGTCATTATTTAGAAATATAAACATTAGCAATTAACACTTTAAAAACACTTTTAAAATCTACATGACTAACGAAAATTAATAAATTAAAAACACTTTTTTTAAAATCTTTATTATGTAAATGGATTAGGTTGTCCGGAACCACCCTTCAAACATGTGTCCGACACGACCCGATCATACCTCATTCGCAAATGCTTGTTTTAAAACCAGTGAATTAAAGTATTAAAGAACTTTTTTTAAATAAATATTATAAATGAAAATATATTTTTGATCAAAAAAAAGTTATTAGTTTACATAAAATTTATATATAACAGTATGTGAATCAAATATGATCAAAGATCGCTCTGCTGGTGGTGGGAAAAATATCTTGTACTCCTATCTAATCGCTTTGACACATTGTGATAGATATTTTGCATATTTTATATTTTCACTCAAAGATGTTTCAGCTGAACATTAAGTGTCCGGAATTACCCGCTGTCCGGGTTTATCCTACTTTCTTTTTCATTATTCGTTACTGAGTAAAAAAATTATTTTTGTATTGTTTAGTATCACAACAAGTATGATTTAATTTTTTAATTTGATAAAAAATAACTTTGTTTCTTAAGAGTTTTCACTAATGTTTTAAGTGAAGTTGGGGGTCGTCCATAAGTTATATCACGCGGTAGGAAGGGATTTTGTGACGTTTTGTTTCAAGGGAGAGGCGTATTTGATTTTGTGAAACAACACTTTTTTTTTAGTTTCAAATTTAGGAAAACCTTTCCTTTCATTATTAGAGTGTCTTCACGGTGCTTTTTATGACATTCCATAAAAAATACCTTGAATAGTAAGGGCTCGCCGGTTGCGATCAACTCCCTTTTTTTACGAAGTAGTCTTTGTTTCACGCAGGTTTTTTTATGAAAAGCAAGCAAGATATTTGTTTACAAATTTTTCAAGGTACGGGTCTATATGGTTTTATTTTTTTATTAATATTCAGATAAATTACTTTAATTTTTAGCAGCAAGGGTGGTGAAAAGGATGGATCTAACTTTTGGTTTATTTTTATCATTTTGAAATTTATGTTCTTGGTATCGACGTCTGCTACCAATGCATTGGTAGCAGACGTCGATACCAAGAACATAAATTTCAAAATGATAAAAAAATCGTCAAAAATTATATGAAACAATAATTTTTGACGATTATTTTCCCGCTTTATTTTCAGAACGTTCTGAAATTTTCAATACGTTCTGAAATTTTCAATACGTTCTGAAAATAAAGCGGGAAAATAATCGTCAAAAATTATTGTTTCATATAATTTTTGACGATTTTTATCGACGTCTGCTACCAATGCATTGGTAGCAGACGTCGATACCAAGAACATAAATTTCAAAATGATAAAAAAATCGTCAAAAATTATATGAAACAATAATTTTTGACGATTATTTTCCCGCTTTATTTTCAGAACGTATTTGTACACAAGTTTCCCGCTATATTTTCAGAGCGTAAATGTACAAGCGACGTTAATTTGTATATAACGCGATTTTGATATTTTGAATGTCAGGGATTCAAGTTAAAGTTCTTCATGCTTTTAAACTTAATGGTTTATCCTTAAGAAGGTAACTAATTAATATAGTTTATAAACCTAATATATATTTGCAAACACACAAATGTATATATATATATATATATATATATATATATATATATATATATATATATATATATATATATATATATATATATATATATATATATATACATATATATATATATACATATATATATATATATATGTATATATATATATATATATATATATATATATATATATATATATATATATGTATATATATATATATATATATATATATATATATATATATATATATATATATATATATATATATATATATATATATATATATATATATATATATATATATATATATATATATATATATATTAGGGATGTGAGGAAATTTTGAAATTTTAAAATAAAACAATATTTTTTACATAAATATTTGCCTTTAATTTTGAATTTTCTAAAAATACTAAAACTCTGTAGGTCGAGTATTTCAAAAGTTATGAGATTTTTAAGTTGTGATTTTTTATATATGGAGAGGCTATGAAAAGTTGGACCCAAAAATTATTTTTTTACCAAAAAAATGTATATTGGTCTAAATTTTTGTGACTTAACTCAAATATTATATATTTAAATAAACCTTAGAGTGTATTTAAGTGAAAATAATAATAAATATTAGTTTATGAATTAAAGTGATTGGTTTAAAGATGTTCATGCCATCATGAGATCACCAAGTATAATGTCACAAGCAAGTTGAACTTTTGGAATATCATAGTCTATTGCATCATTATAATCTTCATCATTGTTCCAATAAGCAACAACATATGTATCCTGTATCTTTTTTTTTATTTTTTCAATTTTTCCATTATATATAATCTTTTTTTCATCTTCATACCAAATATGGCATATATTTCTGCCTATGGCAGTTCCAGACATTACACTCAAAATATCATTAAAATTTGATTCACTAATGTCTGGAAACTCGTTCTCAAAAGTTTCAACACTTATATTTATTATTTTTAATTTTTTTTCTATTTTTTTCCTTTCTTTTGTATCTTTTTTTTGCCTTTTTTGCTCTGCTCTGCGTGTCATCTCCATATTCACTTCAGACATCTTTAATCTATTAATCTCTCTTCTTTTTGTTGCAAAATTAATGGCCCACTCCATAACAGACTCTTTAACATGTTTTGGAAGACTGTTTAAATAGTTGTTAACATTATTTTTTCTGGCACGCAGTCTTGATGATAGGTAACAAAGAGTTGCATTAGGTGCAAATTTCTGAGCTGCACTAAACATTCCCATCACTTCCTCAGCATCCATGTTGTGTAGCCTTGGAGATTCAGTTTCCAATTCCATTTGTTCTGTGGGTTTCATACTGAAGTATTTTTCATATTGCCTATTGATTGTTTCAGATATAGCAGTCAAGCAAACAAGTATCATTTTTTTCATACTGTCGTCTTTAGGGCAGAATTCAATGAGAGCCTTCCAGACAAGATCTTTTTTATCAAACTCTTCATCAAAGAAATTTTTTGATCTTGATAAAATTTGTAATGGATTTTTTAGACATTGGTCAACCATATCCAGGACTTTTTTAATAATGACAATACCATCCAAATAAGAGATTTGTTTTTCGGCTGAAACATAAAATTTTTTCATCCAAGGACTAGTTATAAGTTTTCCTATTAACCCAGCAACACAAAGTTCTCGTTTAGCAATATTGTTTGCAAAGTCAGTAGATAAACTGGCTTGTAATCGAACGCATGAAAGAGTACCTAATGTCAGAAATGTTTTAAAAACGTCATAATGTAGAATTAATACTCCACAAATATGAAAAAAAATATGCAAGCGATTTCCTCTGTATCTAGGAAGTAAACCCTTGGGAAGTTCTTCTTTTAATAAAAATAAAACAAATCCTTTAGGATCACCTTTTCCATCCATGTACCGAAGTTTATTTAGTTGCACAACAATTTTTTCCGGCCATGCAATCGCTACCAAATAAGTTCCCTTTTTCTGTTTCTATTACTGCAAGTGCAGATCTACATCTACTGGAAAATGTTTCTAGAGGATGAAGATGACAGTTCAACTCATTGAAGGTTTTGTTCCATGCCAGACTTAACTTTTTTATTGTGGCATGGTTTGTAACTGCTCGATCTGAAATTGTATTAGCTATGTTGTTAATTATAGTCTGACGACATTCGTAAAAATCTTTTAAATGGAAAGAGGCATAAGTTTTGGCTAAGTTGTCTATGGATTGACATATATGCTGCTCATAATCCTCTGATGTGCCACCACTTAACTCATCTAGTGCTACAACATGACAACCAGTTTTAGTAGTAAGGTGAATACAGCTGGCATGTACACCTTCCTGAGTTGTGCCATCAAATCCAAGCGTTAAATTTTCTTCAGATATAGCAATTTCTGCTGTTTGGAGGTCAGTGATAACACCTAGTTCCCTCACCATTTGTTCGACAGTATTGCGGCAAGGAACAGTTTTAATGGTAAGACCTAGATGTTGGCTAAAACTTTGAATTAAAGAAGAAATGCAATTTGCAGATACTAATTACAGCATCAAAAACAAGTGTTCGTAGTTCTGTATTATATGTTTTTTTGTTTTTCTTAGTAACCATTAAATTGGATTCTAAATTATTAATCTTCTCTTCAAGAAGAAGATTTTGATGTTCAAGTGATTTAATTACTTGAGAATTTATAACAAGTTTTTGTTTTAGTTGTATAATTTCAGCATTTTGTTTTTTAAGTTGCTGATATTTTTGTCTCTGTCTTTTTAATAATAACAAAAGCCTTTTGGAGTTTTGTTGCCCTGCTTCAACTTTAATCGATTTTAATTTTTTTTTAAGATTGCAAATAATAATATTTTTTTTCCAAATGTTTTTCTTTAAAAGTCTTACTTGAATGGGCATTTGTTTAAGTTTGCTCTTTGAGTTAAAAATTGCTTCTCTGTATTTTTTTCTTTCATCACTACGTGATTGTGATAATAAAGAAAGACGCTGTTTTAATTTAGCTTTTATAGGTGTTAAATAAGCTCCTCTTGGATCTTCAACTTGAACTTCTTCTATTGGCACAACCACCGAAACATTTTGCTGAGAAAGTTCAACAAAGGCTTCAGTAGATGCTGATGAAAAGTCATTAGTAGCTTCAACAACTATTGCCCCAGAGAAAACTTCTGAACAAATTTTTTCAAACTTTGACATATCCCTTGAGATGTGCTTTTTGAATTTAATAACACTGTTGTTTATTAAATGTCTAATTTGATTTTTTGTTGTTTGACAACCAAATGTTTCACTAACAATTTTTGCTGTGGTAGTAAAAGAAAACTTATTTTTGTAATATAAAAAAATAACATGTCCTTTGAAGCATATTGTCTGTGAATTAAAAGACACACCACTATACGAAGTCTGAAGATGATCAAAAATAACATTTTTTTTAGGCATTTTCAGATTTGTGAATCACTATAAAAAATAAAAAAGATCAAAATAAAGCACTAGTGCTTTATTTAAAAAATTTTATTTTATTTATTTTTATTTTTTAGATTAAAATTAATGTTTAATAGAGTTGAATCAGTCTATAAACAATCATTGTTACATTATTTACAGAATTTAGTCCTTTAAAATACTCAAATTTTTTACTGAACGAAGTTTTTTTAAATTACTATTAAAAAAATAAACTTTTTTATGATAAAATATTAAAATGCTTTATTTACCTTTTAACTTTCTTTTAACAACTTATAGTAAAAATATTCTGAAATCTAATAATGACAAAAAATCTAATAAAAATACACTCAAATCAAAATCATAGGCTGAACAGTAAAGCAAACCAACTAGTATAATTAGTAAAACAAAATTTAATCATTTTTACAAAGTTACAAAGTTTTGAAGCGAAATGAGAAAACAAGTGTATGCACCAATCGTAATTCAATAAAACGACCTTGTGATCCGGAAATTTTACATATGCGTACTCAGAGTAACAATGCTTTAAGTTTTGAAATTCACAAAAATACCTTGTGTGCTTGGTGCAACCTTTACTTATTATGGGCACATCAGATTTACTTTAAATTTTGAGGATAGGTTGTTTAATAAATGTTTTAAAAGAACCTTTGCAATTAGAAAGGACCCTTGCGTATTTTAGGAGCAGTGATTAATAGAAAAACATCAAGGATTTAAAATGTAAAATTACACTATATTTTATTTAAAAAAATAACCATAAAATAAATCAAATTATAGGTTGACCTTTTTTTTAAATAAATACAAAATTTCATTTTATTTGGTTCCAAAATAGCGGTGCAGCTTGGTTTGGCTTATTTCAACTTTTAGCTAAATCAAAAAAAATGCGGACCAATTTTTAGAACACTTTTTTTACGGCGAAATATTCATATTCTCACATCCCTATATATATATATATATATATATATATATATATATATATATATATATATATATATATATATATATATATATATATATATATATATATATATATATATATATATATATATATATATATATATATATATATATAAATATATATATATATATATATATATATATATATATATATATATATATATATATATATATATATATATATATATATATATATATATATATATATATATATAAACAAAAAGTTAATATACCATATTTTTAATTAAATTTTTGAAAAGTAAACAAGCAGTATATAAAAAATTTGTTAATTAATAATAACATTATAATAAAACATGTAAAAAAAAATCTCATACATACCTTCTACAAACAAGTAATGGTTACGTAAATATAATATTTAGGAACTGTAAACATAAGTTAAACTGGTTTAAAATCAAACAATTAAACTGGTCTAAAATCAAATAATATTTCTTAACTCAAAAAAACAGTATATAAACTAAAATAAAATAAAGAATAGTAATTAGGTATGCAAAAGATATTTAACATTTATTAACTCAATAAAACATTACATATAAATTAGAAACTACATTTAATATGGGCTATGAGAAAACCTCAAAATCTTACAACCTCAAAAAATCCTAAACACATTAAAAAGTCTATAACTATTTATAGTTACAACTTTAATACTTTCTACACTACAACTTTTAATCACATTGAAAACATACAAAATAGATCCCTTGCAAACTATTACACCTGTCAATGCTTCGTTTTTAAATCATTTTGTGAAAGATTTAAAATAAATAAATCAAATGTTAATAATTGTAAAAATTGGGACAAAATGGAAAACAAACTTGATAATGTTATATATTTATAAAAAAAACAGGCAAGGTAAAATTTTTTAAAAATAAAATTACAATTTACTTGCTATCGATAAGATACACATATTAGAAACAATACTTTTACACATGTATATTATGCATACACATATTAGAAAATAATAGTTTATAAACTTACCACTTGTAGCAGCTGAAGATGTAACTAAAGGTTAACAAAGTTGAAATAAAAATAAATATTGTGATTGGCAAGAAATGCATAAACATATTGAAAAGTAAAAGTTTGTAAACATACCAATTATTGCAGATGTAGATGGAACTAAGTTAAAAAAAAGGGTAATAAAAAATAAATATTGCAATTGATCCGAAATACATACATGAACAGGTTTTTTGAAGGATGCAATAAAAGTATTTTTAAGCTTACCACTCAATGCAATTGAGGATGGAACTAGAGCTAAAAAGTTTTAATAAAAAATAAATTTGGAAGTGTCAAGAAATGCAAAAATTAAAATTGCTAAATTTACCACTCATTGCAGATGAAGACGTTGCTAAAGATAAAAAAAGTAATAAAAATAAATAAAATAGGCTGGGTAGATCAAACTAAAAATAACAAAAAAAAAAGTGTATAATTACAACAAAACACTATGAAAAGAAAGAAATCATAATTATGTGGAAGATGCAACAACTGTATTAACATAATGAAAACTAACAATGAAAATGTAAAGAAAATATATTAATAAACAACAAGCTAACATTAGAAATGGTTATTCACTTTGTTTATATATTAATTAGGTTATATTGGTTGTGGTTATATATAAAATATTTGATTTATACTTACGATATCTCAAAAAGGCTTCATAATGTGGAACAGGATCTAAACAACATGTAAACATTAGGCATGCTTGTATTATGATTTAAATAATAATCCACAGATAAAGAAGTATACAATCCAAAAATAATAAAAGATGATAATAAGATGATAAGTTTTATTATATTTGAAAATTACTAACAAGTCTTTTGCAAGGAATAAACCAATGAATTATCTGATTTGTATGTTGTGTCATAATAAAATTGACAACAGATACTATTAGTTAACAATACATTCAAAAGCAAAGTTTTAAATTGAAGCATTAATCTTCTTTTTTGTGTAACATATAAAAACCGATTAAAAATTAATCTGTTTTTATATCATATAAAAACAGATAAATTATATGTTACATAAAAAAGAATTTTAAATCAGAAAATATTTATATATGATTTATGAATATTTTTTGATTTTAAATAGTTATTATTGATATCATTATAAAAAAAAATTAAACTTACTATGTTATAAATTCAATAAAACTTTTGTCAGAATTCATTTTTTATTTTAATCTAATAATAAAAATCAAAATAATACGATATTAGGATTTGTTATTTTTTTTGTATAGTCAGCCTCTCTATCCACCCCCGTATTAAGCTTAACAAAAAAAACAACAGAAAAACCAAAATTATGTACCAAAAGTCCAACACTAAGTATACTATCTGCTACCAATTATTTTTCGTTGATTTTTGGCAGGTGTTAAGAAAATGCATGTAAAATATAGGAAAACTAACAAAAAAAGCCCAATCAACATTCCTTCGACAACAAATTAATGTGAGAACAGGGACAAAATTTTCATGCAATATTGTCAGCAAAATAATCCATAAATATGTTGGGTAACCATACATAAAAGTCATATAAAAATCTAGATCAACCTTTCTCCTTTATGAAAATAATTTATGTTTATACATGTTTCTTAAAAGAAACACACAAAAAAACGTTTGCCTAAAGCTACCTAAAATAAGTGGTATACGTAATATATCACATTTTAAACTATCTGCTACCAATTATTTTTTGTTGAAATTTGGCATGTGCATAGAAAATGCATGTAGAAAATTGTCTGAATTAAAAAAAAAAACGGATCAACATTTCTCCTTCTACAAATTCATGTGAGAACATCAACCAAATATTCAGAAGCAAAATAATCGACAAAAAAGTGTAATAACAATACATAAATTTATTAAATAAAGCAAGATTAGCTTTTCTTCTTTCCAAAAAGTATCTATGTGTATATCTGTTTCTAAAAAGAAACTCCACAAAACTACGTCTGCCTCACGCTGCCTAAAAAAAGAGTTAAAATCCGTAAATTGTGATATCAGCGTACCTATATATATATGTATGTATTTATATATATATATATATATATATATATATATATATATATATATATATATATATATATATATATATATATATATATATATATATATATATATATATATATATTAGGTTTATAAACTATAAACTATATATATAAATATATTTTAGGTATGTGACATGAAATTTTTAAATTAATCTAATAATAGATTGTTACCATTGGAAAGACCTTGAAAACAGTATTTTAAAGGTGAAAAAATTCTACAAAAAGTTATAACCTTTTAAGTACCAAATTTTTCATATTTGGATTTGTTGAAGAAACCATGACCAAAATTTGAGTTTTCTTTAACTTAAAATGTCATAATTTTGTCAGTTCTTATCAAAATTCATAAAACTTGGTAAAAAACTTGGTTCAAAAGAAAGGTCTAAGTATGTATAAAAGGATAAAAAAATAAGTGTAGGGGAAAGCGGGGCAACATGGCAAATGGAGTAAGATGGGTTTTCATATAACAACTCAACAAAAAATCTTGAAATTGGGTGAAAACAAAACTGTATTTGCATCTTGTATTTTAAAACACCAATTGGTTTTTTGAAATATTATAAACGCAATTTTATATGCATAAGTTTACTTTTTGCTCTTAAAAAAAAATTCCTCACTTTCGGTTTCTCATAATGAATAGTGTTCTTCAAGTTTAACTTCTTTATAAATAGTTTTTTGCGGTTTGTGTTTATTTTTTGTTACTTTAGTTAAAGTTATTTTTAAAATTTTATAAGATTGGAGATAAAAATTGCATTGTAAGTCATCTTGCCCCGATCATGTGACCAGTTGACAAATTTATGAACTTTTTATTTTAATATTTATTCAAAAATGTTATACTTGCAAGCTGAAAATTCATGCTGACAATGAATCATTTTCATAACATAAACATACTGAGAAAGTATTACGGCTTCACAACTGATAGTTTTGCAATAACTCGGGGCTTTCAAAACGTTCGCCATGTTGCCTTGCTTTCCCCTATATAAAAAGCGCGTTGGGACGCTAGAGGGGCATTTACAACATCCTCTAATATATTCAAAATCTAGATTTTTTAAAGGAAACATTAATTTTTTATTTAAATTTAAATTTTTTTCTTTTCATTTTAAAAATAAATTCTACCAGGTCATCATTAAATGTGATTGCTATACCTTGGGTTGGGTTGAACTTAATACACAAAAAGACTATATGCAAATACAAACTTATAAAAAATTATATGTATACACATTATACATACACCTACCAATAGTTGATGTAGATATACCTATATATGTATCTACATACATATTTTGATAAGTGTATATATAGATTAACAGATAAGTGGTTACAAATGCTTTTTTTTTTTTGCCATTCCTTTTACCACCTTTTCTGCTATCCTTTCAGCCACTAGTAAGCTGAGGTTTAAATTTAGGAAAGTCTTTGTCTTTATTCTAGGCATTCTTCCATACAAAAGATCCATTTTGATTTAGGCACAGGATGGTTCTGGCGCCAAACCATAAAATCACTCCTTGACAAGCCTATATTTTATAAAAAGCGTATCTAAATAAAATAATCAAAAAACAAAAATGAATTTAAAAAATGAGACAAAAACTTACTATGAAGGTCTTCACAAAAATGTTGTCACCAGGCGGCAGTTGCAAAGAAATTGATAAAATCTGAAAAATTATACTAACTTATAAAATTATAAATAAAATTACAAAAATCTTATACTAACCTGTCTATAAACAATTTTTTTTAAATGAATAAAGTAAATAATAAAATAGCACAACTTATTTTTATGCAGCAGCTAAATTAAAAAAAGAGTTTTAGCTCCATTAACAAATTATCATTATAATTAACTCAATAAAATAATAAAAATTCTACTAAGTATTTTTTTCTTATTTTTTTAAAATGTCAAGCGAACGCTATTAATATGAACACTTTCTTGTAATGTACTCTCAACTCTCAAAGTTAGATGACTGTTTTTGATGAACCATTTAATAATTGCAGTTTTGATATCATGATTAGTTCACGAGTTATTTGTTCAATAGTACTCCGATTGGGAATATTAGTAAAAATGGCACCATTATATTGCCTTTTTTTCTATATTAACAATGGAATGTTACCTGTAATCTCATGCTCAGAAGTTAATCTACTGCTCAGCATGCTCATTGACTTCAATCTTGCTTTTTCACCTGTCAGTGTTGCCTGTAATGAGAAGAGTTTAGTTTGAAATTATGGATCAAACAGTGTCACCACTATATAAAAAGGTTTCTCCTCAATGCCTTTAAAACGCTTATCCAATGACTTGATTAGGATTGACTTCACAGTCTTTACACCTGCATTATTGCAGAATATCGTGTGTAGAGTTGCAAAAAAACACATTTTTTTCCTTTGGCGTTTTTTTGGGTCAAAAAAACATGTTTTTTTGTTGTTTTTTTTGGTGTTTTTTTGGTTTTTTTGGTGTTGTATTGTTTTTTTTAAACAATTTTTCAGTTTTTTTTTGACATAAGTTTTGGAATAGTTTTTCTTTACTCTAGTATAATTTTAGTAATTGGCCATTAAAGGCACAATTAGATGTATAAACACCAATTTAACATAAATTTTTTATAAAAAATTTAAATTAGCTTTAAGTTAGTTATATATCTAGGCATACTGTATGAAAATGTTTATTTTTTGTTTTGTTGTACTAACAACTGTGATACTCTCATTATATATAAAACTATTCTTATTCTATAAAAAAAGTTATCATTTTAATTTTGATAATGTAAATATATTAATGTATAATACCATGCAAATTTAATATCAGACTTCGAATGCTCAAAAATATAAGCAATCTATCAAGATTATTAACTTAATTAAGCATTTTTATATTATATAGTAATTAAGTCTTATATTGTTTGTTTGTTATATCAAAAAAATAAATATTGCTAGTATGCCCATATTAAAAAAAAGCCCTATACTGAACTTAATTTCAAGGAAAATTTAAACATTTTCTAATTATTATTATTTATGGAGTTTCCCAGACCCCATTCACATGATGATTCGTAATTTATTTATTTGTAATTAATTTTTTAACAGCATTTTTTTTTCTAATTACATTATTTATTCATCTAGATATTTTCATATAGCACTATATCAGAACACTTGCAAAATTCTTTAATATGCTCTGTTTTTTAAGTTCAATTTTTAGATATAATCTTATGGCAAAAAAATTGTTCATCTTTTTCCATTTTACTAATTTGGTTCAGAGGTTTAAATAAATGGCTAAGGCTTTATTTCTGCCTTTAAATTATTAAGTGAATTTTTTTTTCTTGATGGTAATCAACAGGAAGAACAAAAAAAATTATGATTAGGCTCTCCATACCCTATATATATATATATATATATATATATATATATATATATATATATATATATATATATATATATATATATATATATATATATATATATATATATATATATATATATATATATATATATATATATATCAGGCCTTGTTTTAAAGCGTTACGCCTAGAGCGATTTACGTACGCCTTAAGCGCTTTTTACGTACGCGTAGAGCTGTTTTGGTTAAGCTACTTTTTATCATTTTTTAACTTTTAAATTAGCGGTAACATAAAAGAAGTAATTAATTTTCAAAAAAACCACATTAACTTTTAAATAACGTTATGTAAAGGTATTTATTAAAAAAAAGAGTTTACTTACTAATAATTATTGTAACTTTTCATTGCGATATATCTTTCCTTTTTATAGCAATTAATTTGACGCTAAACTTTTTATCCAAATATTTAGCAACATGAAAAATTGTTTGTCAATCCTTAACTACAAATTTTTTGCAATGTTTTTAATAAAAAGTAGTAATTTTTTAAAGTTTTTAGTAAAAAACTTTTAAAAAATCTATATTCCATATTTATTAATACAGAATATAAAAGTTTTTTGTAATATAGATTTTTTATGAATTTTTTACTGAATTTATAATAAAAAACATTTGCAAAAAAATTTGTAATTAAGAATTGACATTTTTTTTAAATAAAATCTCAAAAAATGTCTTAATATTTTTGTTATCATGATAACAAAAATATCAAGACATTTTTTCGAGATGTTAAAAAAAATGTCTTTGCTTTTCTTATTAGTTTAATAGTATATAGCTTATAGTTAGTTTAATAGTATATAGCTTTTCTTATTAGTTTATTAGTATATAATTTAAGTTATGCGGGGGGAGGGGGTCGGCACAGAAAAAAAAATTACCTGTTACTCGCAATATTTGAATGAAGACAATTTGTTAAAATTCTTCTGCCTGCGATTCAATAAGTTTTTTTTTCATAAATCAAGTTATAATATAAGGTAAAGAAATCATGACTAGACTACAACATCCGCTGATGACACTAATATTACAATGAATATATTTATATAACGGAGGTTTTATTATGCACGCGCACATTACAGGTTCCGTTAAATAAATACTAAGGCACGTTTTAGTTTAATGACAGTCTCCATTTTTTACTAATGAATATGTATTTTTCTTTATAAAACAAAACAAACTAGTATATAAAAACCTTGTATATTTCTATTATCTCTAAATTGTTTAAAGTTCGAATATGGATTGTATTTTGAAGGACGAAAGATTTACTTTAAAAACTTTTAAATCTTGGGATCTTGCCGATGCTTTGCCGATGCGATGATCACAGAAAAAGAGAAGACTTACGTTATTAAAATCAAATGTAAGTTATGTGATCTTCATCAAAATAAAATATTATCCAAAAACAATAGTGCCGTAAGGGCAACTGCCCAACGGTTTATAAATAATACAAGTCATGTTAAAATATTTTAACATGTTATTATATTTTAATTAAGTTGATATATAATTAAAAATAAAAATATAGTTCAATAAATAAATTAAATTTATTCTTAACAAAGATTACCTCATATTTATTCTTTTTTTATTTTATTAAGTTAAATTGCTTACAAACGAAAAAAAAAAAGAGTTTTGTAATTATACGTAGAATGAAAATACTTTTGATTTTGTTTATAAGTTAAGGAACTTAATTTTTAATAAACAAATTTTTACGAACGTTTATTATAAACAGATACGATTCAAATTATTAAATATACTTAAATTATTTCAGTTGAGTATTTTTTTAAGTTTGCACGATTAAAGTTTGGCGTAGAAGTATTTGTTTTTTTGTTTTAAGAATAATTAACAAAAGAGTTTGCATAGTTAAGACTTATATTTAATTTAATTTTTTTTTTTAATTTCCTAAAATTAAAAAAAAAAAAGATTTAATCGTTGAAAACGATTTTTCGCAATAGCTCTGTTTCTTTGTGGTTTGTTTAAAAAGTTAAATATTTTTACAATAACATAAAAAATTTATGAATTAAATTCCTAGCGAACGCGTTCTAAACTACGTATCAAAAATATGCACAAAGCAGGCAAAACTTTTTTATATTTTTATAAAACGCAAGTTTGAAATGCTTTTAAAAATTTTAAAAATATTTAAAAACTTAAATTTTTCTTTGCTAGTCAAAACAAAATCGTTGTTTAAATAATTAACATGGGTTTGCTAAATAATTAATATATATATATATATATATATATATATATATATATATATATATATATATATATATATATATATATATATATATATATTACTAAATAATATTGAACTAAAATTAATAATAAAATAACAATATAACAATTGAAAACATTACAAAATTTTCAGAATAAATTTATATTTAAAACGTTTATAGTTTATATTTGAGTTAATTGTTAAATTGAATTAGTTTGCGGTTATTTATTTATTGCGGTAGTTAAAACACTTAACGTCTATAAAAAAAAATAAAGATAATTTTATGACGTCAAAATCGCGTTAAGCTAATGCATTAAGCACTTTTTTATTTAAAACAAGACCTGTATATATATATATATATATATATATATATATATATATATATATATATATATATATATATATATATATATATATATATATATATACAGGGCCTAATTTAATTTTTTATAAGGTCCCGGACAGATATTCCAGACACATTTTCATAGCAGCAATTTTGTGGGAAATCCATCGAGAACCGTTGCATTTTTTGGGTAGATATCCACTATCGTTAAATTCCACTCCTTCTTCGTAAGCATTGTAGATTTCTTTTAGTTGACAGAGTTTTTTTGGTGCCCTTTTGTAAATAATATAAACGTAAAAACATTTATCAATTTCATCAAAAGTCGTTTTTGACAAAGGATCTTTTAATGCAAACTATAAGTGATGAGCAACACACCATATAAATACTATCCAGGGTGACTTTTTCTGAAGAATAACATTAATACCTTGATTACTTCCTCGGTTAACTGAAGCACTGTCAGAAGTAAAACCTATAACCTTACTTTCGAACTCTTCAATTCCAAATTCATTAGATAATTCTTTGCAGCAATATGCAATAGCGTCGTATACACCAGTAGCTAAAGAATTTTTTAAATTTCTTAAGCCTATGAAGATTGTTTTCTTTTGAACTTCATCACTTCCCACAGGTTCAGGGTCGAAATAAGTTAGATAAACAACTTCATCTTCTAATGTTGCACTATCCGTTGATCCATCACATAATATATTAAAAAATTTAGATTTTGACAAATCAAATAATGATTTCTCTTTTAAATCTTCACCAATAAAATCTATAAATTCTGCACATTTGACGTTGCTAAAATATGCCTCTCCCAGTTCAACACCATGCATTTTTTCAAGCCGTAATCGTTCTTTGCAATAAAGTACGCAACTTCAAACTTTTTCTTAGTTTTCTCAATTTCTTTTCTATCCATAACTGCTATACCAGAAATAATATCTTGATTACCTAACACATTAGCCATTTGTCTTGCCCTTTGATCTAGTGGTAATTTTTTATATTCATAGTATAGTTTGCAAGCATATGCATGGAATTTACAAGACTTTGCATGATCACTAACAGCAGATTTTTTAAAATTAGTTGAACCCTGAATAAATGCATTTGAAAATTTATCCATGCACTTAATCTTGTTTTCAAATTTCCGGCAGAACTTGCAAGTCAATGATTTAACTTTCCCGTTTAAATCTAAGGAATATTCCAGCCATTCAGATGTAAAAACATCAGCTAATTCTGATTTCCACTTTTCCATGGTTGCTGCCGAAACAGTTCGGGAAGATTGTGAAGATGATGGGATTTTTGCTTGGTTCGGGTTAATTTTCTGGCTTACCGATACCCCTCCGAATGAAGCAAAAATTGTCTTTTGTACTTTTTTAGGCGGTTCAATTGGTTTGATT